CAGTTTTGATCGTATTTGATGAACTGGGAATCACTGAAGTGAACGCACTTAATGTAAAGAAGATTTAAGCATCTTTTTCTAGCTATCAAATCAGATTATTTTGATAAATTGTTAATTTTCAAGTCTATGATCGTGAAATTAGCTTTTTTCGACTTTAAAGAAGCATTTATCCAAGAGCTTAACAAAAAAAAACGATAATAAAACATTAGCAAACAAAAACTTTCACCTAGGTAACACAAGAATTGTAAAATGTGAACTAAATGATCAAAAGCGGGATTTGGTCGATTCAAAAATTTCTAAATTTCGTCTAGCTTGAAAACATTTGCGGAAAGCTTTTTGTTTGCAAAGTTGTCCATAAGTGAGTTCTTTGGCCAACGCAACTTCCATGATGCATAACATAATGCGTAGTCTAACTTTGAACGTCCAATTCTTCGCACTGCTTTCTGCTACATTTGAGCGGAATCTTACGTCATCCTGGGTTTTATCGATTCTCTTTTTTTGCTCTGTGTTTGCCTCTTTTAAGTCGTTTTTTCGCGGTTGATGTCTCATCACTCCATGACAACAAGGCCATGCATTGATTTACAGGCAATTTAGGCAATTTTTGGATCAAATAAGCGTTATGGCGTTTAAAATTAGACAATTCAGCAGTAACGCACTTTTTTCACGCACCACTTAAATTTGATAGCTGGACAAAGATGCTCAAATCTTCTTTACATTAAGTGCGTTCACTCCAGTGATTCCCAGTTCATTGTGTACGATACAAACTGTTTGGATATTCCGTACCCTGAATGTTAAATCCAGTAAGTCCTAAAACTTAAAATTGGCACCTAAGTAAAGATGCTCAAATCTTCTTCACGTTATGTGTATTCACTCCAGTGATTCTCAGTTCATTGAGATCAACACAAACTGTTTGGATATTCCGTACCCTGAATGCTAAATCTAGTAAGTCCTAAACCTTCAAAATTGATACCTAGGCTTAAATGCTCGTATCTTCTTTACATAAAGCGCCTTGACTCCAGTGATTCCCAGTTCATCAAATACGATCAAAACTGTTTGAATATCCCTTGCACTAAATGTTAAATCTAGCAAGTCCTAAAACTTCAAAATTGATAGCCACACAAAGCTACCTCAATCTTCTTCACGTTATGCGTATTCATTCCAGTGATTCCCAATTCATTGAGATCAAAACAAACTGTTCCGATATTCCGTGCCATGAATGTTTAATCTAGCAAGTCCTAAAACTTCAAAATTGATGATAGGCTTAGATGCTCCAAATCTTCCTCACATTATGTGTATTCACTATAGTGATTCCCAATTCATCGAGAACGGCATAAACGGTTTGGATATTCCTTGCCCTGAGTCTTAAATCTAGCAAGTCCTAAAACTTCAAAATTGATAGCTAGAAAAGGATGCTTAAATCTTCTTTACATTAATCTTCTTGCGTTCACTCCAGTGATTCCCAGTTCATCAAATACGATCAAAACTGTTTGAATATCCCTTGCACTGAATGCTAAATCTACCAAGTCCTAAAACTTCGAGATTGACGCTAGGCTTAGATGCTCAAAAACTTCTTTACTTGATGTGTATTCACCCCAGTGATTCCCAATTCGTTGACATCAACACAAACTATTTGGAGATTCTTTTGCCCTGAATGTTATATCTAGCAAGTCCTAAAGCTTCGAAATTGACGCTAAGCTTAGATGCTCGGATCTTCTTTACATTAAGCGCCTTGACTCCAGTGATTCATTGAGATCAACAAAAACTGTTTGGATATTCCGTGCCTTGAATGTTAAATGTTATTTTGCAGAAAAATAATTGGCCTTTCTGATGAGAAAAACCGTAGTTCAATTAATGCATTTATTGGTTTCAAACGGAAGCACGAAAAGAAACAAAAAGTCTTTCCGCCTAATAGAATGTGTTGTGAAATATTGAATCGCTAAAATAACTGGAGCATCGAAAAACTGTTGACTAACCTTTGTGCAATGGGTTAGCATGGGTTTCTTCACTTGTGCCCATAAGCCCATTCTCATAAGCTTTTTCTCTTCTTTCTTCTTTCTTTTTTAACAGAAAGACACATTCGCTTTAGAGAATGGATCGAATGAATTTGATTCCTGGCGCCCACGATCCAATCGAATGCGAAAATCCAAAGAACAATTGCAGAAGCTTGATCGCATATAATGAATAGTTTGTATTGGGTTGATGGAAAAGTCCTTTCCGATTTTTTGGGAGAGTATCTTAAATTTGTCGAATTTTGACGTTTTATAGCTCATCCTAAAGCTGAATTCAAGACGGATCGATTGGTAAAAACCGTTTTGAGATATCTCTTTTTCTAAAAGTTTTTACAGCTATTTTAGTAAAGGGCGGCAGAGCCAAAAAATGGCTGTTTTCATTTATTTAGACATTTATTTAGACACTTTTTTAACCAATAACGGAACCAATAACAATCAAATACAAAAAAAGAAAAATTTCGGATATTACAATTGCTTTCAATTTGCTTTCATTTTACGTCATCCTGGGTTTTATCGATTCTCTTCTTTTTCTTTTTTTTGTGCTGTGTTTGCCTCTTTTAAGTTGTTTAAGCCGTCGTAGCCGACCGGATAGAAGTCTTGTCTCCTAGTCTCCTAGGTCAAAGGTTCGATCCCGGCGGCAAGAACGGCCAGAAAAAAAAAAAAGACACACCCATCATTATGGGTGTTGTCTTATTTTTTTTCTTAACAACATTTGAGTAAAAGGAGTAACTAAGGGTAAAAAAAATTCCTTCGTTGTGTTGTAATTAATCAATTAGTGTCGTGTCGAAAGTCGTGTCGAATAAATAAACTACTATTTCTTTTTTCTTTTCTTTTCTTTTTTTCCTTTTCTTTTCTTTTTTCCCTTTTTCACTCTATGAAAACAAAGTCATAATTTCATTGAAATGCATTCAAATGCTATCTAATGCAAATTTTCAATCAAATAAGCATTACCTGTGTTTTAAAATTCAAGACAAGACAATTCAAGAGTAACGTGTTTCGTCATTTTGTTCGTCATTTTATTTATTCAAAATCAAATATCTCAAAGATTACAAAAGCATTACGAGGTCCAATAATGAAAAGCAAAATAATTGCCATCTCTTTGCCCACTTGCTACTTTGCAATTCCCAGTGTCACGATAAACAAAGTGAAAATCAGAAAGCATAAAAGTTCTCTCATCATTTTCATTGCGCTCATCGAATTCCGTTTTTGAATCGTCGATCAAATCGCATAAAAACTTATAGATGAGTTTAGAAGGGTTCAAGATGAAATCTGAAATTTTCTGCCGGATTGGAACCGTATTGGAACCGTATTGGAGCCGTATTGGAACCATATTGGAACCGTATTGGAACCATATTGGAACCTGGGGTTGGGCTTTTAATTTAAGGAGGTCCCTTTTTTCCCATTTCTCAATCCAACTTTGAGCTCAAATTTCTTGGTGTTGGGCTTTTCAATTGAAAGAGTTTTTTTTTTTGCCACGAATCGATAGAGAAAGACTTTGCTCATCGAATGCTATTAAGACTATTTAAATTAATCAGCCGAACACCGAAGATATTTGAGATTAAAGTTAGATCGTTAATGGAAAAATGGGTGGGGGTATTTAAAGGCGTTTAAAAGTAAAAAGTAAGCAAATTTTAGCACTCACCCAAAAAGTACTGCCATTCATTTGCATCAATCTCGACACCGAAATCGTTTTCCATTTCTTTTCGATTCGCTTTATAAAAAGCAAAATCCAATTCGAATTCGATACTCATTTTGCGTAAAGCTTCTTGAAGGGAGATTTTCTCAAAAGTCTCGAAAACCGATTTTTTCTCGCTTTTTTGATGCATCTCCAGTATAAAATCATCGAAATTTTCGCGATTCTCAAAAAATTCGATTGGAATCTTTCCGAATACACAAAGCCCAATCACCAAAACTCCGAAATTTCATCTTTTCAAATTTACTTGAAGCTTTTGTTTGGGTAAAGAAATATTGAAAGTTCTCATTGTACTCATTCACTTGTACATTTGAATTGTCAATCATCAAAATTGGCTTAACATCTCGCCATTTCAGTTTTCCATCAAAAATCTCGAATTTAAGGGAAATTTGAAACATTTCTGAAGAAATTTCCTTGAGATTCGGTAATTTTTTGGATTTCGGCATTTCGTCGAATAAATTCACAAGCAGAAATTCAAATGCTGGTAAAACTAAAGGATTTGCTTTAAAATAGGTAGGCAAATAAAATCGACGCACCAAAATCGAGTCTAGTTTCAAGAGTGGGCACTGTGCGAGCGAACTGCTGAGTCATATCGCAGCTCTTTACCCCGCTTTTTCCGATGGTTTTTCGTATGCTCGAGTTGCTGACGAGACTGTGAAATTGTATCTCTGAAATAAAAGCTATCCGCAGGGTAGGCTAGTTTCCGCAATTTTTTTGCGCAACAGGGTTATTTGCGCAACTCGCCATAACTTTCTTCTAGGTGGGCCAATTTTTATGATTTTGGTGTCATTTTGTTGCATTTGTTGAGATCTACAAAATGAAATCAAAATCATAAAGATTGGCCGACTTAGAAGAAAGTTATGGAGAGTTGCGCAAAAAAAAAATGGCGCAAAGTAGCAAAGCAAAGCCTATCCCCTATCCACATTTCCTAGGAAAAATATTATCAACCACAGCATTCAAGCCTCTTAAAAGCATTTTCTTTACATTGTATGCTCATTTTAGACATCGAAAATATCAGAATCTTCTGCAACTTCTTAAGTTTTACTATTTTGATTGCTGAGTTGTTAGCCATGTGAATCATTACGAATTTGTCCGGAATCATCAGCTATTTGGCATTCTCATCATTCATTCTCTAAAGTTTTTTTCGAGATTTTATTTAAACAAAAACTTATAACAACTTAGTAAAGATTTAAAAATTTAACAAAACGTGAAATAACAATGGAAGGGTTGCAAAATGAAAAGAAACGAGAAGGTGATAACAAATTTTGGGGTAAAACGGGGGCAAAAATTTCGATTCAAAAACGAGAAGGGATTCGAAGTGGCTTCACGATAAATTCTAGTGCAAAATAGAAAAGAAAAATGAGAACGGTGGAAACAACTCCAAGGATCGCGTTTTCTAATTTACTCAATCTTTTATCGTGAAACCAGTTCAAAGTGAGGGGAAAATCGGTCATGCAAGGAAATCTTAACGGGATCAGAATCACGGAAAACGTAAGTCAAAAATCATGGGTGAAACGAATAGAACATACCAAAAAAAGAAAAGCTGACTTAAGCGGATTTCGACTTCTTGGAATCAGGGAAAAAATATGCCCAGCGACGAAATCACCGACGGCATAACCAATCCAAGCCCCAGTCACGCAGCCACCAGCCAAAGCCTTGCAACCACCAGCCCCAGTCACGCAGCCACCAGCCAAAGCCTTGCAACCACCAGCCAAAGTCACGTAAGTCAGGCAACCACCAACCAAAGCACCTAAACAAGCGATTTTCATGTCTAAATACCGAAAAGAAACTTACCAACAGCTAGGCCAACCAATTTCAGCTCTACAACGAGCGTTTCCGTCGCCACTCTGTAAATAAAACAAAATAATAAGCTCCTAATTGTAAGAATTTTAAAGAAGTTTTTAAAAAATATGAGCACATAAGTTTCTATTGAATCTTAGGCAGAAAAAATGAAAAATATACCTTGATATCTGTCCAAAGATCTTCAAGCTCCCTCTAAAATCAGAAAGATCAGTACCCTTTTGGCCTGGCCCACCTTAAAAGTCTTGTAGGTTTGGTAGAAAGAGAAGCCTTTCTCCGCATTCTAAAAGAAAAAGATGACGGTATAAGAATGGCAAAATTAAAAAACTTCGCTAGACTGAGTTTAGCCTACTCTAGCAAATGTTACAAATGTGAAATTCAACTTTTAAACCGGTGTCTAATAAAAAATGCACCAGGGTGGGGCCACTAGGAAATTCACATAGGCTCAGGCTATGGTAATTTGCGTTTAATATTCAACTTCCGTTGGTGTAAACTTCTTTCTTTACCTCCATCGACTATTTCTGATTTTTTAAATTAACAAATTAAACAAAGATAACAACAACAACGCAACAAACAGGTAGCAATAACATGAAAAAATTAGGTAAGACCGCAGTTTCTCCTCCCCCCGCGAAACATCTTAAAATGACGTTTTTTTGGTCCCATTTTTCATGCTAAGTACGAATTTCGACATCCCACTGGCGGGTTTTGGGTTTTTTTAGAAAATTTTTAGAAAAAAAACCCAAAATCCGGCCGGGGGATGTCGAAATTCGTACTTAGCATGAAAAATGGGACCAAAAAACATCATTTTAACATGTTTTGAGGGGGGGGGAGAAACTGCGGTTGAGCCTAAAATTACTGGCACGGACGAGTTTTAAAAGTCAAAAAGTTCTTGAGCGAAAAACGAGTCAAAGCAGCCATTTGTTGAGACTTTTCCAGAAAAAAAGGAAAAATCACGGCTTTTCTCATTTTTGGCTTTAGTAAATGCAAAATCCCTTCCTAGTGGCCCCACTCCAGTGTAGTAGCACCCAGTGTAGTAGCACCCAGTGTAGTAGCACCCAGTGTAGTAGCACTCAGTGTAGTAGCACTCAGTGTAGTAGCACCACTCTAGTGTAGTAGCACCACTCTAGTGTAGTAGCACCACTCTAGTGTAGTAGCACCACTCTAGTGTAGTAGCACCACTCTAGTGTAGTAGCACCACTCTAGTGTAGTAGCACCACTCTAGTGTAGTAGCACCCAAAAAATACTCACGTTGAAAAGGTTAGACCAAAAGCCCATCATTCGATCGTTTTCCGCCTCGAGTTTACCTGAAATGAAAAGATTTTCAAAAATTACATAGAAATATAGACAAATAAATAAGAAAATACAATAATGACACCTTTTACTTAAAGCGCACGCTTATCTATGCTAAAGTTTAACTTTAAAAGATTCAGATGTTGAGTTTTAGACAATTCTAGATCATTAACAATGAACTGATTGACGCGTAATGCTTAAAAAGCTTAGCAACAATAGTTCTAGCGCAGGCTACATGCAAAAACAAAGAAACAAGAAGGCAAAAAGAGAAAAATGAAAATCTCGCTTCATTTCCCTTAAAATGTTAAGATATTCAGTGAAGCGACTGTGTATTTTGACGATATTTTGACGCGTTTAAAGGCCTATATATATGTTGTGTCCGATTTAGATTGAACTTATCGCGGACGTCCGATTTAGATTACAGTCTATATCGGACGTCCGATTTAGATTGAATCTAAATCTTATATACACTGCTGGACATAATTTTAAAGGCAGTCGAATTTTTACGATTTTTTGGAAAATATCGAATATCCAATAAAATTGTCTTTTAAACATCATTACTATCATAATTTTACATGTATAACTGTAAAAATCCGGGAGATGATCATTGGAACTTTTAAAGAAAAATCAAATTTATTCAAAAAGTGCCTCTGGCAAGTGGTCATAATTTTAAAGGCATTTGAAAAAAAGTTAACAATTTTAACAAAATGGGCAAAAACTGATAAAAATTAACAAATTAATAATCGATTGGACCTCCGTGACGCTGAATTACTTGAAAAAGTCTATTGTCCATGCTTCCCACAAGGCTATCAATGAGATTCTGATCGACGGTCTGCCAAGCTTTAATAATTGCCTTTTTAAGCTGGCTGACGCTTCCATAAGTCTTATTTCCTTCATAAATCTTTCTGACCATATAGCCCCAGATGTTTTCTTGCGGATTTAAATCCGGTGAATTGGCTGGCCAGTCCAAGAGTGGGATTCCCTTGCTTTGAAGCCAGGCTGTCGTGCTTTGACTTGCGTGAATTGGCGCATTGTCCTGCATAAACACCAAATTTCGATGACGATTGCGGCTCCAGAAGGGAAGTAGAGATCGTCGAAGCACAAACTGATACTGGCTAGAGTTCATTTTCTTTGGCACAAAAACCAATTTGATCCGTCCGGTCGATGAGAAGGCCGCCCAGCACATCACTCCTCCTCCTTTGAAGTTTCTCCGCGAAAAGTGCAGTTTGTCTTTACGTAGGTCGTGCCAATAGTAGCGGTCACCATCCGGCCCATCACAATTGAATTTCTTTTCATCTGACCAAACGATCTAAAGCAATGAAAATTTATAAAACACAAACTTAATTGACTTACTGAGCTCCAGTCAATTCGCCGGTTCTTGTCTGCGAAGTCCAACCGCTTCTTTTGATTTATCGGCGTAATAAAGGGGGCTTTTCGCATGCGCCTGCGAGCAATCAACTTGCTTTTCGATAAAACTCTTCGAATTGTCCTTGAGGAGACTCCCAGATTCAGATCTGCTTTGATTTTTGACGAGGTTGCTGTTGAGTTTGAGGCCGTTCGAATGATTGCTCGTCGATTCCTTTTTGTAGTTTTCGGTTTTCTTCCAGAATGCTTTTTGGTACCATAGCCAGTTGAATCCCTGACATAAGAATCGACTACAGAAGGAGATCGGTTGATTTCTGCCGCAATATCGCGATTACTCCAGTTATTCAGTTTCAAGCCATCAATGATGCCTTTTTCTTGATCGGAGAGTCGTTTTCCGTTACCCATATCTAAAATATGATATGTAAGCATTTAAAAAATGCAAAAAAGATGCATTAAAAGTACAAAATAAATGATTCAAGACAAAATTGTTAACTTTTTTTCAAATGCCTTTAAAATTATGACCACTTGCCAGAGGCACTTTTTGAATAAATTTGATTTTTCTTTAAAAGTTCCAATGATCATCTCCCGGATTTTTACAGTTATACATGTAAAATTATGATAGTAATGATGTTTAAAAGACAATTTTATTGGATATTCGATATTTTCCAAAAAATCGTAAAAATTCGACTGCCTTTAAAATTATGTCCAGCAGTGTAGATTGAACAATAATATAAACATGCTTAATATATGTTCTTAAGCGTTTTTTTGCAATTTTCTGCGCTTTTCAAAGAAATTTTATTGTCTTTTTTTGAGAATTTTTTGTTTTCTTGTTTTCCTATTAAATGCTTACTATTATCCTATTAAAGTTAAAAACTACAGAAAACGCTTAAGAACATATATTAAGCATGCTTATATTATTGTTCAATCTATATAAGATTTAGATTGAATCTAAATCGGACGTCCGCGATAAGTTCAATCTAAATCGAACACAACATATACATACTTTTTTTATGCATTTGATTTTTTTTTCTCAACTGATCGTGAATAAAAAAATTTGTCGAATAGATCGAATAGGTAGATATTTTTGAAAATAGTTTTTTGCAAATTTTTTTGCAATGCGAATAAAAAGATTTATTTCACAGAAATAACTTATTGAGACCAGTTGTTAGCGAGGTTTTTTTCAAGAGTTGATAACAATTTTTGCGCTTTTGACTAATTAGCCTTTTGTTGCTCGAATGGAGGCGGAGAGATCGGGCGCAACGAGGGGAACGGTGGGGCTTCTGAAAGGGTTTTTGTTGTTGTTGTTGTTGTTGTTGAATGGATATCAGATTGAAAAGAGATTTACATGGATTTACACCAAAAACCATATAATGCCAGGGTTCATTTGACTAACCTTGCCGCCACGGAGACTCCCTCACCAACGATCGGCGCGTTTGGATCGACGACGTTTCCTGAAGGAACTTTGTTTCCAGGGTTTTTTGAAAAGCCAGAAGGCAAGCCTTGACACTAGTCTTGACAAATCCAGCTTGGAACTTACCATTATTACCCCATGTGTTCACGAAGTTGTTATCGTTGTTTGTGTATGGATTGTAATAGTTATTGCAACAATTCGATGCGCACGCCGAATACTGATTGTTGAATGGAGAATAGGCGACGTATTGACTTGAAAAGTTGAGTTTGAGTAAATCAATTGGAATTTTGTTCAGCTAGCAGATTCAGCTAGCAGGTACAGCTAACAGATACAGCTAACAGATTCAGCTAACAGATACAGCTAACAGATTCAGCTAACAGATACAGCTAGCAGATACAGCTAACATATACAGCTAACAGATTCAGCTAGCATATTCAGCTAACAGATTCAGCTAGCAGATGAGCAGATGAAGCAATCAAAATTGAATTTGATTCTATTAGACTACTGGGCTAGGAGCGGTACTGAGCTTGACTAAGCGAAAGGTAACTAAAGGTAACTTGACTAAGGTAATTAAAGCGAAAAGTTCGCTAGAATTTCTCTCACCCATTGATTGTTGTTCCCTGATAATTTCCACAGTTTACATTCGAGCATCCAGTGTTGCAATTATAGCCGCTGTTGTAGAAAGAGTAGGGGAGAGACTGAAAAAGAAATGGGTACTGTAATCGCCGACGATTTAGAGAACAAACTAGTACAGCATCTTAGCTTTCACCTGAGCCGGATAATTGCAATTGGTGCCTCCATAACATCCATTATTGTAGTTGTAGTTGTAGTTGTTGTTGTTGTAGTTGTTGTTGTAGTTGCAATTGTTGTTTCCACAGTTGTTCGAGCAAGCTGTAGCAGATTTTGAAACGTTTAATACGATAAAGATTACGGTATTGACTGACATATCCACCATTATTGCCCGGGCACAAATAGTAGACAGACACTTGACGCTTCGATCGTTGCACCGATCCGGCCAACGAGAGCACCAAAAGCCAACACAAAGTCAGCAAAAATCTCATTCTAGAAAGGACGTTTAGCTGAGTAGTAGAGATTAATTATTATGATAATATTATGATAATATTATCACAATATTATCACAATATTATCACAATATTATTCAATTGTAGTGATTCAGAATTCAGAATTTGAAATAGATTCAATAGATTCAATAAGCCAAAAGAAATCTATAAGCATATTGTAGGCCATACGTTAACAATCAGTGATATAGTGATATAGTGATATGATATATTGATATGATTTATTGATATGATATAGTGCTTTACAGTATATAGTGAGACAGAATACCGTAAGCCCTATTCTAAAGTCATCAGACAAAAAAAAAGGAGAATCAATCGTGTAGATGTTGCGAGTACCAGTGCCTTTTATATGGGCATCGTCCGGGGGGTCGTGGGTGTGCCGCACTTCACTCAAACAAATCCCCGATCAAGGCGACGAAAAGACGTCTCCATGACCCGGCACATCACAAAAGGAGACCTGATTTCCGATTGAAGCAAGGCAAGAAGAAAAAGTCTGTTTTCTTTTGTTTTTCTTTGTCACATATCACATCAACCCCGAAATCCGGCTTTTGCCGTCGAGTTAGAAGTTTTGTCAGTGTCTAGACCTCATTCCCGGTGATTCATCCCTTTAAGGACGTGAGCAGCGTTGGGAAAATTGTGTCTTGGTGTGGATAAGATCCAGTTTACTTGAGCAACTCGAATCACAATAATCCGTTTAACTTTGACTCACCTTCTTTTGTGGACGTAAACGTGGGAAAATTCGGGCTTTAAAGCGTTCTAGCTTGTTCAACGAATGATAAAATTCATTACGTACGTAGGGCACTACAATTTGTGTTCTAAATTAGTTTTGAAATTTCCACACGACATGATAAACTTCAGGCTTTTTGTATTGTTTTGAATTTGACGAGTTATTCGTCTAAATTTTGTACCAATCAGGCTGTAGGTACTGCTTGATATCTGATAAACTGCCCAGAGTTTGTTTGCGTCTTTTTTGGGTGCATTTCGCCATCATTCAATCAAATTTTAGAACAATTTATCCACTAGATTAATATTCGGAACCACGGATCAATTTTCATTCACTTTTTTCTTCAAATACAAATCAATCAATCAATCAAGTGTTTGATGAGAATATCGCAAAATCAAATCAAAAGAGAAAAGAAAAGAGAGCGAACGAAAAAAGAAGAGAGAGACAAATGAAATATGAATAGACAGAGCCGCAAAAATACACACAAATGGATGAATTGAGGGGAAAAGAAGATAAAAATACACGAACAATATCTCAAATCATCGACAAACAAAATGGATGAATGAAAAAACACAGAAGACTACGGGGAAATGAAACGGATTTTGCAGTTTTATGTAAAAATAAAAATATCAAAAACAAGATCATTTCGCATACAATCACTCAACTCTACAAATTATCCTTATCGGGTCAAAAAGGATGGGGGATCACCAAAAACACATCGATCGGATAGCCATGTTAAGCTAAACATAAAATTTTACGCTATCGTTTACAAACAAAAATGAGTGCCATAGAAAACTTATCAAAATTTGTATTATCCAGTAGCTATGTCAGAGTTTTTCGAGGAATTGATGTTAGAATTCGCATATGTACAAGTGGCTCAAATTCGTTTTCCCAAAAAACTACAACACAGCTGATGGACATTTTTCCATAGCACACAATTCTTGGGTCATTGATAAATGGAGAAACAGTCAAAAACGATCAACGACAGGGTCTCTCATCAAAAGAAAAATGTAAAAAGGCTAAATTTTCAGACTTTTCCCCATTTTAAGAAAAACATACAAAGGAAACAATGGTAAGTGCACCGATCTACTACGAAGTTGAAACGAAATCGGGAAAGAAGTTTTTCCTTTTCCAGAAAACAAAAGAACACATTTGGGGCACAAAACCCGTATTGGCGATGTGTGTGGGCGGCGCAAAAACAAATAAGGTCACAAAAAAAAGAAACGAAAAGGAGAGAAGGGAAATTGCTTCAAATAACACAAATTATCATCATCGTCAATGAAGCCAGTTGATGGGGTGACTAGGTTGTTGTGAAAATGAAAATCCCTGGCTTTGTTTTGGCGGTGATGGTAATTGTTGTACACATCTGCAGTTAGAGATTCAACTCCTGAGCGATTCGCGAGGCGATATTCTTGAAGCCGATAGACGTGCCAGAGATTCGTTTAAAGCGGACACCGTTCAGGCTAAGACGGGGCAGCTTGCACACCTAAACAAAAGTGAATAGTTCAATGTCGTTTTAAGCTTTGAAGTAAACGTTGAATAACTATCGTCAAAAACTAACCTCCATTTCCCATTGCACGAGACTGTCGGAGTTGGGATCACCGTGAACACACAGCAACAAGTACCGTTCTCTTTGCTCGTAGTCACAGTTGTTGGCGTCGAGCACTTTGCGGATTTCCCTAAAATGGGTAGCATATTAAATTGATAAATAAATAAAAATATTGCTACGTAAAGATATCCAACCTCATCATTTCCTCGGGTGCCAAACTGCTTGTCGTCTTCATGCTCCACGTGAAACGAAGTGATCGAGGCTTTATATCCGATGATCCTAAACCGGTAAAGAATTATATTAGAAATGAGCGAATTCCCTTTACAATAAAAGCAAAATTTTCTCCTATACCTGACGAAGCTTCCGGAGCCGATGCAGGTGGTATCAGCCCAGCGTTTTCTCGCAGTTCCCTCAATTGAGCAGCGGCTGCCTGTAAGTAAAAGCTGAATATAAAAAAATCTTCCTTTTATGGTATTAAAACAAAATCAAGCTCTTGTTTGCTAAGAGTCTTAAAATGCAATTAACCTCTTCAGCAATTGGTCGAATAAGTAACCCCTAAATATCAAAATCTTCAAGTTTTACTATATTAAAGCATAGATGAGGCTCTTGTTTAGTGCGAACTTTAAAATGCAAATGATCAACCTGTCCAGCAATTGGTCCAATTGTTCCAGCGCGTCCCGAGTGTGGTGCCGGTCCGCCCGCAAAGCCATCACCGCCTCCCCTAAAGTGGAAACAATAAATACGAAGGTAAGATATGACGAACGACGCGAAAATTGGTCCCTAAATGGAAAGTGAAAAGCAGTAAGATAGACAAATGTCTATTTCGAAAGCTCAATTTAATTATCCCCCTTGCCCTATGGTCAATGCTTGCCTCTGGGTGGATCGTAGTTGTGAAACGTATGGTGGTGGGAGTCCTCCTCCCCCACTTCCACCAGCTCCTCCCGCCGCTCCCGTACCGCCGGCCGTCACCGCTGATGGGCTGAAATGACACGATAGGCACCTTTTATCCCTATCCGGTTTCTTCTGCGGATTTTAACATATGATCGTATCTTTTAGTTAATAACGAGATAATCAGGTTAGTGAATAGTCTAGCGGCATCGTAGAACTACACGTTCAATGCTCAATACAAAAAAAATTAGTGTTAAACTGAACCTAATGGAATTTAACAAGCTAATCAACATTGTTCAAAATCAGAAACACTTTGAAAGCTTGAGACTTGATTTAAAATTTCGAAGTCTCCGAAAGCTTGAGCATAGTTTAAAGCTGCTAAGAGTTAAGCACAGCAAAGCAATAGTTGAATATTTTAGGCATTAATCTTGATTCATTAATTCAGTTTGCCAAGAGAAATGCACACACTCAGGCAAAAACTCTCGTCAGGACAAAATGCGTGTCTAGTGGGAGATTTGTTAGATGAGGTAAACTTCGGACTCGTGCTATTTCTTGCCAAAACCGGGAAAGCCTGGTGCACCGAAGTGGGCATATTTAACGAAAAGGGTGACTTACGAGCTGACCGCGACGATTTCTTACTAGCCGAATTTCACAGAGCTTGATATTTTGGCCTGTTGGACATAGATACCGTAACTCCGTGAAATTTAGCTAACAAGAGATCGTGCTAACTCTAAGGCCCCTTAGCGATGAACATGCCTTCATCCAAGTGCCTCCCGGCTTGAACATAAACTTTCAAAAACGATTAGTGGGGACATTTCTCTTTGGTGAGTGTTTAGAACATAAATCTTTCTCTCTCAAAAAAACGCATCAACCGCAACCGGCTCATCAAAAAACAGTCACATTTTTGATAGGTGCCCAAAGTGCATTTCACCGCCACATCCCGGAAATAAATGATAGATCGACGACCAGCAAGCAACAGGAAAAAAATGCTTTGCAATAGAGAAAGAGGTGAAAAATCAGTGGTATCAGATGAATTATTTAGCTTAGGAGACACTCAATTAATAGATTTTGAATAAAGATGGGTAATTCCAATTCATGATTTTCGATAATATACGTTTCAAAGTATCCTATTGTATAAACATAAAATAATCACCCATTTTTATTCCAAGGGGCAAAGAGATTACTAGTTAAACGATTCCGGGATAAAATCAAACATTGAACCCGTATTAAAACGATACATCTTTATTTCGAAGAAATAATAGAAAAATGCAACAAAATATGCAAACCAACCGTCTCGCCAACTTGGTCAACTTCGACAGGAAGAAACCGCCTCTCGGTTGGCCGTTGTTGTTCGCGGTCACATTCACCGCCGTCTCGCCCTCGGACTCCTCTTCCTCATTGTTGCCCTATAAAACGGACAAATTATTATGAATGTGCTAGTTGATGTAAAAACTCAACTATCCTTTTCAACCCCTAAAACGTTTTCTCTTTTAAGCTAAACAAAAAGCTTTCCCAAACGCCAGTCAGTAAAAAAAAAATCACTTTTGACCCAGACACTTTCTATTATAGCAAAAACCACTCAACATTGAAAAAAAACTTAATCAACGGCGTTATTAATAGAGCATAGCTCGCGGTTAAGAAAAAACTGGTAGCCAAGCCGCAAAAATGAACAAAATAAATCAGAGCGTGAATTGTTACACTCATCGTTTCTTCATGAAACGATGAAACATGAAATGAAATAAGTGTTTGTGTGAATGGAGCGCCAGAATTTTCTCATTTTCACCCATGAAATCATAGCAAATACCTCTAAAACTCATAACAAAAACGGGAAAGCCTAACTTTAATCATTCTAAACGTACTCGTCGTGAGTGAACTAACATTGATAAAAACGATAACAAAAAGTGTTCTTTAGACTATTGAGTGTTATGGCAGTACAGAGCCTAACAAGCCTAACAAGGGGTCTTTTCTACACTTTTCATTCCAAAATGGGGTATTTGAATGATGGCAATCTCTTCCATTGTTGTGCCTTGTTACTACCTTGTTGTGCTCCGTTTTCCCATGGAATGTTTGTCGATTACGCGTGTTACGTGGAAAAGCCGATGTGCCCGTTGTTGTTGACACCGGCTGAGCTTGTGGAGCGGCCGAGGTGGCGACCGGCTGAAATAAAAGCAAATAAATGAAATTAGTCTGAAAACAAAAATTTCTCTCACTTTTTTCTTTCTCACTGGCGTGCAAACTCTAGAATATCGGGTCTGGATAAGGGCAAAAAGAAAAAAGCTGATTCTATTGACTAGGGTGAGAAATTTCTGATCGAGGACAACTTTTATCTGATAGAATTAACTACAAAAATTTAATCCATTGAGCCTCGATAAGAAAATTCCGGCTGTAATGGGGATTGCACACATTGCTTTACCCGTAGTTAGACCCAATGTGGACCAGGGCCTTTCTAAAACAGTTTTTTGTTCTTGTAAATCCAAACCCGATCGTCTAGATTTCTCTCAGCTACAGTACACAATCATTGACATGAACTCGAGACAAAGATAGTACAAAATATAGAGGTTAGCGCCAAAAGAAATCACTAGCTATCGGCCAAAAATCCAAAAATTCATTTTTGTGCTGCAGACGATCGCATGCAAACACACGATCGACGACACTCTCAAATGCTTTAAGAACTAAAAATAATCAAATACGCAAGCACTGTTTTTCATTTTTTTCTAGAGTTACTTTCTACGAACATTTTTTCACAAAGCCATTAATCGAAAGCTACAAAAGCGGAGAAAGGAAAAAAGAAATGCAAAAAAATCGATTAGCTATAGTCGTAAACTTACTACGCTAACAAAGGCCTTGCCACGAAAGCCCGTCTTTTTGACATACTAGAAACGAAAAGAATGAGACATGAATCCCAGCGTAAAAAAAGATTTCAGAAAGCTGAAAGTTCAGAGAGCCCTTGTTGATCACGTGGCTCGTTTTGATATGCAAATGCATACTTTTCGAAGTACCTTGAATCAAGTCAAGACTGAATGACTCTTAATCACATTTGCATATTCCAACAAGGTATGTGATCGATAAGGACCATTCAAAGCAAAGGAAAACCGGTGTTAAACTCTACCTGATTAGAGGGTGAATGTGGCGGTGGAGTGTGACGAGGTGCCGTCGTTGCTGATGTGGTCGAGGTGGGTGTTGATGGAAGGGGAGGATTGGAGCCCGTGGTTGGCAGGGTTGTACCCGTTGCACTCTTTATCATCTTGCTCGGTTGATCCAACGAGAGTGCGTCCATCTAAAAGAAAACATAAATAGCATACTACAACACCCCAACAACAATCAAAAACCAATTTCGTACCTCCTTGATCATCTGAGGAGGCATTGACGGACTCGGGTGAAGTGTCAACGGCCTAAAATTGCTAGGAATAGTTCAGTAAGCAAAACTTTCTGTAATTTTAAAATCATATTCTGTCAATCTGACGGTCAATCTCAATCTTCACATTCACATCCACCACACCAAGGTCACACTAACAAAAAGAAAATTCTAGAATTCAAAAAATAGTCAAATGCAAAAATCAACGACCATGCGAAAAGATTTCGATCTCCGGAAGGGCGATGTGAAGAGTTGAGCAATTTGAGCGGCCATTGATGGAGACGGCGGTGAGGGTAAACGAGTGGGTGGACTGATCGGTCGGCCACCACCACCATTTGATGCAGACGTCAATCCGGGAAGCCGGAGGCCGGAAAGCAGTCGTGATAGAGCCATGCTTGATGTTCTGTAGTTGAAAAAGGAGTTAATCATATCTTTAGGCTTTAAATGTTATTGGTTTTGTAGGCTTTTTTAAACTAAAGAACATTTTCCGCCTAGAAATTTTCATCATCCACGGGAACCCAGGGTTTTCGGGGTATGGAAAAAAATCGAACCGTGCATCAAAAAGGACCAATCACTGACCAATCTATAAATATTCATAATACCACAGAGAGAAATGACGGAAGAGAAGCGCTACAGGCAAATGTCACCCTGGGTTAGAGAGATTTCTTGGTATTTTATAAAGGGATTAAAAGGGTATGGATAATGCTTTAAAGCATAAAATCTTGAAAAACACATGGAACCCTACGGGCTTTCCACGTTATCCACCTGAAGAACCCAGAGCACAGGCACAAACACAAAAAAGAGGGAACGAACAAAACATAGGGCATCACCGAATCGTCACAAAATTTAACTCAAAGGCATTCCGATTGCGTGATAGAGCTTTAATCACTTTACAAAACTCAAACAAAAAGAGAAAACCGTCAGATTGACATTTGCTTAGCAGCGCTACACTTCATGCATTTCGATCATGTGTATGTGCTGGGGAGTAGGTCTAATGTTACCGATTCACAATCGCCAACAACCACCACAACAACTCACTTTGGATGATCCGAATCGGTCATCGTTTGGGGCAATGGAGCTGACGCGTCTTTGAGTGGTTGATTGGCGAGTTCGGTCGGCGTATCCCCTCGCAATGGTGTTGATTCTCTCGAAGCCGTCTAAACGAAAAACACTTATCCAATACTGAGTGTTTATCGCTAACTACGTATTAACGGTAGTCTTATTGGTCTTAGTTGCTAAACAATGTGTAAGTAGCTACAAAAACCTCAGCAATTCCACCGGTCGTCTCCTCTTCTGCATCTTCTCGAATTGCCGGCTCAGCTGGTGTGTGTGAAATGGAGCCGCTCTTCTAAAAAAAGCAGCCAATAGAGTAATAGTGAAATCAACTCTACCTGTAATCCAGAACCAGGCGGTGGCACAACTTTTTGGGCCAATTGGGCTGCTTGAGGCACCGACGATGGAGTATTTGATGAGCCATTCGTTGCAGGTACAAATTTCGACAACAACCCAGGAGAAGCCGGAACGCCGTATGAGGCACGGGCCGACGATGATCCGTTTGATAATGGACTAAAAATAAATATGAACAGTTTAAGGAAATCAATTGCTCACTCTCTGTGATGAACTCCTTGTACAGGTCTTCCACCGAGATTGATGATTGGCACTCGTCCAGTCGGGGCTGATTGCTTCCGATTTCCAGACGATACACCACCGACGGTGGTTTGTGGTTGTCCTCGCGCAAATGTCGCAGCTGCTCCACTTGCCGGCGCTGCACTGCTGTTCGGCGTGAACTCGAGTTGGGTGTTTCCTAAAAGCAATAATTCTTATACTAATAGAACGACCATTAACTTCAAGTACATAAAATATCGTCAATCAACCCACTCTTTGTTCCGCTGATCTGTGGTGGTGGCTGCATGGAGAGTACTGGCGGTCGAGATGACGGTTGTGTTCGCATTTGCACTCCGGCTCCCGTTGCCTGAAAATAAAAGATGCCATTTTGAAAAAACTATTTAATCTACAAGCGAAAGCATTGACCACTCGAGGAAATTGGTTCAACCGCTTTCCACTACCAAATTGTCACAATAAGTAACGCGTTGAGACTAGGTTGCACACAGTGGGAAACAGAGTTGCTCCAAAAATCCAGATTCAGCCAAGAGTTTTTGTCCAGCATTTAATTTAGACTTGGAACAATCCTGATAAGAATTTGATGAATGTAACAAACTGATTAGCTAACGAAATGGATAATTCAACAATGGGGAAACGCTCAACTAAAGACAGGGTGAAAACTAATGGTAAGCGGCAAAACGTTTGTTCACACAATCGGGAATGGGACAACCCCAAACCTTCGCTGCTTGCTGAGCAGTGGCTGCCGGTTGCACCACTCCACTAACTACAGCTTCGGCATGCGAGCTGCGACGACCCTTTTCCTGAAAAACGCACTCAAAAATGCTAGGTTCAATAAGCGGTAGCCATAAAAAAAAAGCGTAAAACAATCGGTACTTGGTTTTGCTTAAATTATTTTAGACCTAGGTGCGTAAATTGGGATCAGCACCTGAATACCGATTGTTTCCGAGATTTGCTACAATACCTTGCTTGCCGTGGTAGATGTGAGTCCGGGAATTTGCGAGGCGGCATTCGCTTGGGTGCTCGAAGCTCGGGCAGAAGATGATTGAGATTGTGAGTACTTGGATGGCTGAAAGCAAAATCATAAGAGTTCGTTGAAATCTATTAGTGATATTGTTATCTAGGGAATTGATAATTGAAAAAATCGTAGCGGACAGCGGCATGCGGAAAGGGAATCATCAGAGCATTAAAAGTTAAATTTTAAAATTGAATCAAAGACCTGACGCACCGTTGAAAGATTTTCAAGGGGTCAGGGAAATTATCTGGTATAGAAAAACGGTAAAACCGATATTGCATTGTCGATTTTGTTGATTAAATATTTCGTTTTACCATTTTTTTCAACCCTAATCTACCGTCATCTAACACCACAGCACAACAAAAGAATCAAGCAGAAAATCTCTAATTTACTAGCTGTCACGATACACCGATGATCGATCTCTCAAAGGAGATGATCGCTTACCGATTGGACATGGCCCGAATGTGTGCCCGATCCCTGACCACCCACGCCACCACCGCCCGATGCCACGTTGTGCGTGGATGCGGTCACATTCTGCGCCGGCGGTGTCGAAAGGTCGTCAATCTGGGCCAAGCGATTGTTTTCAAAGTTAATGACATGAATTTGCTTTTGAGTAATTTCTCGCATGTTCAGTCTTCCCAAAGGCACGCGTACATTCAGTTAAGAGGATTAGATATGCTAATGATCAGAGCCGGACTGAGAAGTTGGTCGCGACATTAGATTTTTTGACTAACTTCAAAGTGCCGTCTCTTATCGATAAGCATAAATAACGTTCAAGGTTAAACGTCAAAAAGTTTCCTAACCATGCACTGCCCAATTTGCTCTGCAATGCACGCTTCTTGAACTGCCCCAAAAATTCGAATCCCTGCACGCGCTCATTCTTTGGAGTTAATGAAAGAGTCTATTCAATCTCTTTTAATTAAAATCATGCTTTTGTGTTATTTGTACCGTTTCCCAAACTCACATCAGCTCTCTTTTCGCCCAATAGTAGGTATGAAGCGTGAATCTCGTCAAATCGTTCCCTATCGAGGCTTTCAATGATGCTCTCTTTTCGGTAGCCCATCTAGACATAAATTTTATTTGCTAACGATTTTCTACCAAACCGCAATCAATCTCCCGACTCGTGCCTCGTCTCGTTGATCCTTTTGTGGCTCAATGTAAGGCTTGAGCTCGTCATCCTCGTAACCAATGTTCATCCATCTAAAAATATTCATCATAGAGATCAATTGAAACCTCAGAAAAAAATACATACCAAACGTCTATGGAATATAACAAGCTAGTACCTGTCTTTCATGATTGCATCGAGGGTGCCACGTCGTTGCGGGTTTAAGACCAAGAATTTCTTCAACAAATTCTCGCAATCCGTTGACATGTAGAATGGGATTCGGTACTTTCCGCGGAGCACTCGTTCTCGCAATTCCTAGAAAAAGCAATAAAACGAGAAAATCTACCTAAAGCTTACCTTTAAATTGTTGCCATCAAACGGAAGAGAGCCAGAGACGAGAGTGTAGAGAATGACGCCCAAACTCCACACATCAACCTCAGGGCCATCGTACTTTTTACCCTAAAATTTGTTGCTTAAATCAATGATAGATATACATTTTAATCTAATTTACAAATGTGCTCACTAACATTACCTCGTTGTAACATACAAAAAGTCTCCAAATTTTTTACCTGGAAAAGCTCGGGTGCAGCATAGGGTGGCGACCCACAAAACGTGTCCAACTTGTTGCCAACAGAGAATTGATTGGAGAAGCCAAAGTCGGCAATTTTGATGTTCATATCAGCATCCAATAGTAGATTCTCGGCTTTCAGATCTCGATGAATGATGTTTTTCGAATGAAGATATTGCACAGCGGAAACGATTTGTCGAAACTTTGCTCTCGCCTCTTTCTCCTTCATCCGACCATGAGCCACCAGATAGTCAAAAACCTGAAACATAGTTTGATAAACAATTTAGAAGAGTCACTCAAACCTCTCCTCCGCTCGCGTACTCCATCACCAAATACAACGTGGTCTCCGTCTCGATCACTTGGAAAAGTTTAACGATATTTGGATGATCGAGTTGCTTCATGATCTTCACTTCTCGGAAGAGCTAAAGATAAAAGGCTAAGTATAGTTTTAACAGGTTCATAATTTTTCTTGGTACAGTCGCATTAGTATTTTTCTCCTCAAATACTGCTTTTCAACCCTCATTCTGATCTACTTGATCCAACATTCGCATCATGTGTTTTTTTTTCTCTAACCGGATTTTGAGATCTACACAAAAAAGCCGAATCCAAAGGGGTTAGATTAGATTTCCGGGCTACGAGTCGTCTCATCCACACAATCATCCCCATTCCCTTTGCAAAATCCACTCTTTTTTCACTTGACCCCAGTGTTTCCTTTGAGCTGCGTCGAGATTCGAAAAGGAAGTAAAAGAAAGCGGATTCTCAAAGGCTAAAGATTTCAAGCTCATCTTAAGACTCTCAACGAACGAATGAAAGTTTCTTTATAATCTTGAGTAAAATCTGATTCCAAAAAATTTCTCTAAAATCTATTCTTAGCCATTGCGGCGTAAACTTTTAAATTAAAAAAATCATAACAAACTTCCAAAACAATCTTTAATTTTTCTGAACAGATCTTCAAGATCAAGATGAACCCGTCCCTTACATTTTTTGGGCTTTCGAGATTTCGCGAGCCTTAGAAGAAAGCCAGCGAGTTCCCTCGCAAAAACGAACGAGACGAAAAGCATGAGAGAGAAGAGTTCGCAGTCATCCATTTCCCGCTTTTCCACCACACAAATCGATTTCATGTTGGCACAATTCAGGGTGGGGTGGGCCCATCGAAAAGAACGAAAGAGCGGCTATTCAATGGGGAAAAGAAGGGACAAGTGCAAGGAACTAGGTCCATTCAAGAGAGACACCCAAGAAAACAAGGAAAGCTCAACCCAACCATCACCCCATCCAGAAAGACGAAAGCAAGAAAAAATGATGACAGCTCTAACTTGATGTGTTGTTGACCCGTGAAAAGCGGTGGAGACTGATGGGCATTGGAACGGAGAAAAGGCCATTCATGAACTCATTAGGTGCTACATTTTGCCATTTACCAAAAATTTTCAATCGCCGCCTTGTGAATATTTCAGCGGTGAATTGCTCATGACACTTTTGTCAAGCGTTTTTGAATATGGGCGCTTTTTCGTCTCTGACGGAACTTTTCGTTTTAGTTTTGCCATGTCAAGTTTCTCAGTATATCCAAAGACACGTGTATTTTAAATGAACCTTTTGCAAACTGCTGGGATTGAGGGCCGTCTTGTCGATGATCTTGATGGCCACCTCAAGACCCGTGGGCACATGTTTGGCCAGTTTCACCTTGAAAAACTTTTGAAGAAATTCGAAACACAAAACAAAACCTTGGCGAAGTTTCCCTTTCCGATCGTCTTGAGCAATTTGTACTTGCCAACATGTGGATCCTCGGCCCGTTGCCTGAAAATACGAAACTTTGAAATCAATTTGTGAAAGAGTTGACTTTGATGAGAGGTCTAAGGTGGACATTTGGGCTAAAGCAGCTTAAAAACTCGTACCGTGTGGTCGTTCTCGTGCTTCCGCTCATCCCGCTCGAAGAATGGTTGCTCGATTGGGTGGCTCCCGATGGCCGAGTCGTGTGACCACTTGAGGAGCTAAAAATATCATATTGCTAGATAAGATAATTGTAGGCTTGAGCTAACTAAGCTTTTTCTACCTAAGGTAAGCGGGCAATATCCCTCCGCCAAGAATCTTTGCCCAAGAAAAGCCCAAGCCTAAAGTGCTTTAGTGCTCAAAAAAATCAAATCAAATAAAACGGAGAGACTTTGGTCCAAAGAAAGCGATTCACTTGAAACAATCCGAATGAATTGTCAAATGATTCAGCGATCAAAGAGGTGATCAATAAACCGTTTCTGCAAAAATCGATACATTTTCTACGTAAACGAGGCGGAGATAATTTGATTAAAGCACGCGATTACGGGGAGGCCGTCCCGATCAAGAAAAGAAAGGGGAAAAGAGGATGTCGCGCAAAGTGACTGTGGGTGTGACAACAAAAAGAAAATCGATAATCGGTGGCGCGGCTGGCCGGTCGCTCTGAAGGAAAGGGGATGGGTGTGGGCGAGAGATGCGGGAAAGGAAAGGAAGACTGCCCCGAGCTCTCCCCTCCAACCCCGTACAATTCTTTCTCAATCTCGCCCCAAGAACCATTCCCATTTTTCCTTGCAAACCAACCCCTCGTTCGATTGGAGAAATAAAACTTGCCCAGTAATCCAAATGAAAGCAAAGCTATGTAACTAGCTCATGAGGTTGGGCTGTTAAATGTGGATATCAGAGAAACGTGCGGAATTAAATAGATATTCGATTTTCACCTTTATATTAAGCGCGCACTTCACAAAATTTTTAAGGAAAAGGATAAAGAATGGCTTTGAACTTTCCACATCGTTACTTCACGTTCTCGCCTCAAGAACTATTCCCCTTCTTTTTCCTGCAATCCTTTCCCCTGCACTCTTTCTCGTTCAACCCTTTCTTATATCGAAAATAAGGAGTGCACGCTTCCTCTTGCAAAAGTGGAGGTCGTGTCATATATTGTGACCTATGGAAAAATTGAGGACAAGTAACTCTTCCCCATTCACCTCTATTACTTCAATAAGTGGTGGTTAGTAAAGGAGTTCATGTGTGAAAAGTTCTATTTGAGGTGAAAACTTGATTGCGCAAACAAATAAAACTTACACAGTAATTTGAATTAGAAAAAAATCAATTTAAAGAAGAAAAAGGTGTGGCATTGATGATATTTGAACTCCAACTTTTAAACAGTTCATAACAAACGAGAGATTCTCAAGGTTGGGCAAAGCTTCTTATCAGAGTTTCTCTAGCGATTTTCTTTCTAGTTTTTAGAGTGGTTTTAGAGTAGAGTAGAGTAGAGATATAAATCGATATACCTAGTTGGATGTGAGCGTCCAGATGACGGATGATGGCTGTGATGGGAAGAATGATGTCCGGATGAACCTAAATGAATGAACTATAAACAAAGATCGAAAGAAAACCATTCGTAGTATGTTCAACTTTTAAGAATAGCTTTAACTTGTGTCAGACATAACATTTTAGCGGCAAAGTTTTATGAATTATTGAAAATGGTAAATATTTTTGATATGAATCATTCAAATGCTTTGTTACATCAGCTATGAAATTGTTTACGCGCAAAAGGCCAATTGTAAGCGCGGAAGTGTGTCTATGTCTGTGTGTAGATCAATAATAAACTCTAAACGATTGCCCAAGCCGCATCATAGTCAATGGGGATAAAGCGGGAGCGAATAGAGGAACACAGACACTGTTGTGCACAACCTCTTCCCTTCCCTCTTTCTATCAACCACAACACATTGTTTGTCGAGCACGCAAATAAACATGCGCACGGAGAATAAGGTGATGGGGAAGCTAAGTGGTAGGTGCAACTCGTGTGGACTCGGATTAAAACAACCAATAATTAGAAGTTCTATGAATACTACTAAAAGGGGAAAATGCTTGGTATGTTATGCTTTTGATTGCTTTTTTAAAAAGTGTTGTTGATAAGCAGATCAACTAGAGTTCCTATTGTTCACATTAACACGTTAAATTGTCATAGATTTGGTTAAATGTTTCAAAATTGTTAAGGGCATCCACCCAAATTCATTATTCCGTAATTTCCTCCCCCTAAATGTAAGGCAAACGGCATTGAGAAGCGGTGTTTTTCTGCTGAAACATAGGCCTCTATCATCTAAAATTGGCAGAAGTTACTTTACTACACGGGTAATACTTTTGTGGAATGCACTTCCCGACTCCACTCGTAAAATAACTTCTATCAATACATTCAAAGCAAGTTTGTCTTCTTTAAATTTAACCAAGCTCTATCTAGTGTTATTTTTTGATATTTAAGCTTTCCAATGCTTTCAATTCTAAAATGCTTTCAACTTAGTGCGTTTATTGCGTTATTTTTTGTCTTTCTTAGTTTTTTAGTTTGGGTCTGTGAATTTTTATCTATCCGTGCACCACTTTATTTCAGGAATAAGGTATATATTATTATTATAACTAAAATTTACCCGTTGGCTGTGGAATGGCGGAGACGGCGGCGGCCGGCTGTCCGTTCGAGTGCATTTCGGTTGGCTCTTGCTGTTGTGGAATCCGTTTCGATGAACCCGTATTGCGACTAGAAATCTAAACAAAACAAAGTTTATAAACTTGTAAAAACGGTACATGGTCATAAAACATGGCCATCGTTATAAAATTTACATTTTGGAAGCACTGTTAGCTTGAAACCAACAACAAATGGATCTACGCTGATTGTCAAACATTTTAAACCAAAAAAAAATACTGCGCTGTTATTTTAAACTTTACTGTTTCCTTTATCAAATTGAACTATAAGCACAAAAACAGCTCACCTTTGAAGAAGTCGATGTAGAGCGAGCTTTTGTCTTCAGTTGTTGCTCTTTCTTTGTTGTCAAGGGCTCTTTATCATACTCCTGAAATCAAAAAATCAATATTCTAAAAGAAAACATGAAAAAAAAATCAAAGCACTCACGAAAAAAAGAAAGGAATAATTAGAGAATTGGAGTAAGATTTGACAAGAGAGAAAATTCTATTCCGTCTTCTAAAAGGTGGGCTCGAGAAAAAGCTACCATAAAAAGTCTGATCTTGGACGATTTCTTTCGATTTCGAATCGATTTTCTGTAGTACTGGGGGAGGATTTTCATCCTATAGATGTGGGTGTCCTAGAGGGGATTTTTGGGGGGAAAAAAAGGGGGGTGACACCCCCGAAATTCGCTCGCCGCCCGAGAGACAGGCCTCATTTTCTCCTCCCGAGCAAGCACAGCAGCAAGGGTTTTCTTTTCGCTTTCTTTCTTTGGGTTTAGATGCTGCAAAAGAGAACGGGGAAGTGAAATCCCCAAGCCTCTTCTACACCACGACAACATAGAAACTAGAGCTTAAAAAAACGGTTTTTGTATCTACCTAGGTGTCTAGGGGCGCGAGTTTTCAAGTCAGATATATTGTAAACGAATTAAAATACCCAAGTAATATTTTTTTAAAAGAAAACCCAAGTTAAAATTATAATAATGACTGAGAATTTCGATTTATCAATTTTTATACTCAAAAATCGAAATGAAAATCGTCAAAAAGTAAAGTTATCCAGGGATAGGCTAATTTCCGCCATTTTATTTGCGCAACTCGCCATAACTTTCTTCTAAGTCGGCCAATCTTTATGATTTTGGTTTCATTTTGTAGATCTCAATAAGTGCAACAAAATGACACCAAAATCATAAAGATTGGCCGACTTAGAAGAAAGTTATGGCAAGTTGCGCAAATAAAATTGCGTAATTTGCCTACCCCGTTATCCAGCTATTTTCGTTTTCTATTTTGCGCCCCAGAATGCTATTTTTTTAACCCTACTTCTATAATATAATAGAACTTGTTTTAGACTTTCAATTCATCGAAAAATTGAAAATTCTCATGAAGCTAATGATCTGCAGCGATACAACAGCCTGCAAATGACAAGCTCGAGCCATCGACCTCATAATTTGGCCAATCTGCGCACAAAAAGTGGCTGCAACGAAAAAATATTTGTGTTCATTAAGTCTAAAATTCCTCTTTTGGCGATTCGGACAGCTAGATCAACATTTTTGAATGAAAAAGAAACAAAATGCAGAAAATTCCGAATTTCTCCGTTGAAAACGTGGTTTTAACGATGAATTGACCATGACGATTGCGCGGCAAGCCAAAAACGAAAATTGAGCATAGGAAATTTGCGTACGCAAATTTTGCGCCATGAAGATTGCGCCGAGCGTCTTTTCGTGTGTGTAAACAGCCGTGTGCTCGGCACTCAAGCAACAATTCAAGCAAGCAGCATTTAAAAACATGTATTCTGATTCTGCGCCATTAGAAAACGAGGTAAAGTCTCAATGAAATAACTCAAATCCTTCGGCGCAAAATTCGCAGCGCAAAATTCGGCGGCGCAATTTTCGTTTTTGGCTTGCGGCGCAAATTTCGTATGCTCAAATTTCGTTTTTGGCTTACGGCGCAATCGTGATGGCGCCAGAAATTTTTGGGGAAACGATACAAATGCAAGAATTTCATCTATTGCAGCAATTCTTGCATTAAACCGACCAGACTTGTTCCCCGAGTGTACTTTGTGCTGGAATTTTGTAAACTCAGCCTTTCCGATGCACTCATTTTGTTCATTTTTCTCGTGATGCAAAGTGTCATTCCAACAAAAGCTTTCAGTGCGTCAGAAAAGTGTGTGCGTTTACAATTTCGACAGCACAAAGTTCACAAAGCAGCACAATCACCATCCCGTCAAAAACAAAAAACATTACAATCAAAGTTCACGTGAATCTTCGGGGCAAAAAAAGGTCAAAAAGCAAAAAGTCTCCACCAGACAATCGATATTTGCCGAGCGGTCAACGAAAAGAATGACTCATTTTTTTCGAATCGAAAAAAAATTTCGCACACTTTGATGACTAAAAAGATGCGCATTTCCCTCTTTCTTTCTTGAGGAACCTCCTTGAACGGGGAGATCCCCATCCTTTTGTCAATAATCCCTCTTTTTCATTTTAAGAAAGCCTAAGCCAAAATTGTGTGGTCGTGATTTCAGAAAGAGGCGATTAAATGACCCAGAAACACACACACACACACACACATTGACATTCGAAAGAGACTAGATATTGGAAAGATATTGGAAATGATGTCAGCCAAAAAGTTTATTGTTTAACATTATATAGCCTCGTATCAAAATCATCATCAAAATCTTGAAAAAACTACTTTTAAACTTGCTCTTTGTGCTTTAAATTGTAAACGCATCCTTTCTGGTGTATCTAATTCTTGATTTTTGCTTAGACCGCCAAATCATTTTTGCAAGAAAATAGAAGATTTAAGTACTCTAGAAAGGTTGCGTTTACAGTTTTTGAGAGAAAAAGTATATCAAAAAGAGACAAATGGCAAAATCTATCATGTAAACCCAATCTCTATTGCTAAATATAAATTTCAAAATGTTTATCAAGTTCAAAACAAGTTGTTGCGTGACTTTATAGTGAATGAAAGGAAATGCACTTTTTTTTCTGAATGCAGCTTTCATTGTCGGTTATCTACTGATGACAAAAAGTCTTAAGAATAGCTAACAATCTAGCAACAAATCAATAGATCAGAACTCTAGCTTTAAGTAGCTTAAAAAAACCACTGTCCACTCTTTTTCAACACTATTATAGTGATAGACTTCTAAAAAAACCCTATAAGCTTTCTGTATGCAGCTTTCATTGTTGGTTACCTACTAATGACAAAAAGCCTTAAGAATAGCTAACAATCTAGCAACAAATCAATGATCTAAGCCAAAATAAAAACAAAATCCGACAAAAATCGGTTGTAGTAATATCGCTGCGGCGCTAAAAGAAATCAATACCCAGGCAGTGTCAAAGAAGTTGAGCGTGTGAGTCACAAAATGAATAGAAAAGATGAGTCAAGAAAGAAAAGCGTTCAGTTCTATCGATAGAGATGTAGGGAGACCCTGAGGAGGGCTCTAGCCGCACTGCATCTCGCGGCTACGCGGTGAAACGCCCCGCCACAAACCACCCCCAGTCAGCCTTCTCTTTTTGAGCACTACTCTCTATGCTCTCTTCATCCCCTCAGGGGGAAAAGAACCGAGAGTGCAGCGTGTCTCTGGCAGGGTTCACCCCTCCTTTTCCCTCTAGAGCGTCACCACTCCACCCCCACTACCTAGACACATTTCTCTTCCTCTTCTCTTCCTTTCAATCATGTCTTTCCATCACCCTAAACGCAGTTGTCACTATAATTTCGTTAACAGAGGTTGGAACAAAAGTTCTTCTTCTCAAGCTACTCTCATTATATGCTTCTCTAAAGTTCTCTAAAAGTTTAGACCAATTATCTGAGTTCTAATTGATAGCTGAAATACTCAAGACTGAACAAGACTGACTCAAGACTGAACAAGACTGACTCAAGACTGAACAAGACTGACTCAAGACTGAACAAGACTGACTCAAGAGCTGACCCAACAAATCTTGCAATACTTCTTTAACATGCAAACCTTTAGAAATCAAGTTCAAGAAAAAAGATCAAGTTTTTTTAGGTAAGGTAAAATTTCACGAACCAAAAAACCCTTCTTCAACAAGTGACCACCAGAAATGGAGCTGGATGAAAAGAACAAAGGCGGGTTGAAAAGGGGGACACAAGGATTTCCCGCAGCGAATTTTCAGACTTCGAATTCTTTCAACACAAGCACAGGTGTACGAAATGTGTGCGGCCTCTTTGTGTCTGAGTTGATCACAAATCGAAGAGACAACAAAATCCCGCCTTTTCTCTCTCTTGCTTCTTCGTACACTTTGACCAGTTTCCCATATCAAACACTAATAAAAGAAAGCTTTAAATCCCAAAAGACTAGATAAAAGACTAGATAAAAGACTAGACAAAAGACTAGATAAAATCAAGATTAGATCAAAAAGCAGGTTTAACTTACGTTTAGCCCCCACAAAAGCAGATTAATCAGGAAAACAGTAAAAGCCAGTTGATCTGTTAGTTGAATTCAAATAAAATTTGTATAAAGAAGTCTTTCGATTGGAAAGTACGAAGCTTTTCTAAACGTTAGCATTGATTTTTCCAATTTTGACCGGATCTCTCCAGCTATTCGGGTCATTAAAAACCGGCCTTGAATGACAAAATGAAAGAAAAAAAGAGAGTGAGTGACTAGATGAGAGCCATATGTAAAGTATTCAGCCAACCGAAAGAGATTTCGGAGAGGAGTTTCTAGAAAAAACTTCATCGATCAGAGAACTTGAAAATAACCCAAAGTCTCAATAGTTGAAGCTTTGATTCGATTTTAAAAGATTCAGCTTATAGTTAGCTACTTCTGGGGTAAGGGAGATCAAGTGCTTTGTGGTGTGATGGTTAGCCCGGTTGCCTGGTAAGCGAAAGTTCGTGGGTTCGAGTCCGGGGTATGTATTTTTGATGAATTTTTGATCTACCCCAGTTCTAACTCATTCTTTCAAGGTCGCCAGTTGGAACTAGGGCAGATCAAAAAGTCGTGCCCCACCAGGACTACTGGAACCCCCGAGCTCTCACTTAGTGAAATCGCGATCTCTCGAAAGCCTAGGCCTAAGCCAAAGCCTAAGCCTAACCGGAAATTGGGGGTATAGCCCAAACCCAAATAGACTTAGTGCTAGGCGCTAGCCTTCGCACTAAGTCCAAGCCTAAGCCTGTGCCTAAGCCTGTGCCTAAGCCTGTGCCTAAGCCTGTGCCTAAGCCTGTGCCTAAGCCTGTGCCTAAGCCTGTGCCTAAGCCTGTGCCTAAGCCTGTGCCTAAGCCTGTGCCTAAGCCTGTGCCTAAGCCTGTGCCTAAGCCTGTGCTAACCATTACACTACAAATCACTTGATCTCCCTTATCTTTTAATTGATTCTCGAAGAAATGTGCACAAATATAGTAATCAGAAAAGAATTCCCTATAGCACAAATAATTTCATTTGAATCAACAGCAAAAACCCCAGGGTATTCTCTAGAGAGATTAGCGATTTCTATTGAAAATTTCGAGGAAAATATGGGAAAATACTTCGTGACTAATTGTTAAACCCGGAAAATGAGAAATTCTATCAAAAATTTCCTAAATAAAGCTAGAAAGTCCCTAGAAAAAGTCAGAAAATAATGAAAATTTTTAGAAATTGTAAAGTTTCAAAAATTTTAAGCCAAAAAAAAAACATTTGAAGTGAAAAAATCTCATTCTTAAAAGTTTTCATGATAAATTTACCCAGGATTTATTCTTTGATAAGTGCCGAATTGCTATCAATTTTTACTATCAATTGCTACCCAATTTTTACCTTTAAAATTTCAAATCTTTCTCACTTCTTCGTAAATGCAAATTTTTGGCTTTTTGGCTTATTGATGACGTCAAAAAGTCGTCAAAAAGTCGTCAAAAAGAAAAAGAAAGCTTTCAAATTTCAAAATTCACAAAAACAATCAAAATTTTTAGTGAAAAATTTGAAAAATCTGGGATGCATAGTTCTTTTTTTGTGCAAAAAGCATTGCCAAAAAAAACGCAAATCGGATTATCGAGAAGGGAAAAGAAAGAAAAGAAAGAAAAGAAAGAAAAGAAAGAAAAGAAAGAAAAGAAAGAAAAGAAAGAAATGAGAAAAAGCAAGGCTTTTCCTTTTGAAAATTTCCCTTCAACATCAAGATCGACAAGTGCCTTTTTTTTGGTGAAGAAAATAGAGAACCACATAAACCCACATAAAATAAGCTCATAAAATTGGGTGTACTGGTTGGAAAAGGAACCCAATATTTCAACATATAGCTTATGTGAATGTGAGTTTTGTGAATTTGTCCAATAAGAGTCGAAATTCTTATGCATCTCATCCGCGATTCTATGAAAAAGCTTCTATTTATTGTAGAGTTTGAAAAACTATGAAGAAAAGCTACCATAAAAACTCGAATAGAACGTTGAAAAGTTAGACTACGCGACTGTACACCCATCATTATCGCATTATCGGATTATCGGATTCATTATCATTCATTTTATTCAACTATCGTTTTCTGATTTCATTTCTAGCCTTAGCTTGACTTTTTCCAAAGATTTAAGTAGAAAAACTAGCTATTTTTCCTATTTTTCGCTTTACTCTTGTACTTTGTGCTTAAAACATTTTAAATCCACACTTTCTAATGCACTTCATCTTCATCTTCTAGCAAGAAACGATAAAAGTTCGATAAGAGTTCCAGAAAAAGAGAATTTCCAGTTTTTGAAACATAAAGTACACCAAAAAAAGAACAAGATCTAGCCTCAAAAAACTCCTGTTTAACGAAAGTTCTCAAAACTCTTCAAATCAACAATGACAAATCAACAATGACAAATAAAAGCCAAATGAGCTTATCAATAGAATTTTTGTTGTTTTCCTCTCTCCAATCAACACCAATCAACACCAATCACCTACCTACTTTCAGCCTCAAAAATAGAGAAAAATTGAGGGTTTGAGGCGGTTTGAGGCGGCAATCTTTTCCTTTTTTTTATGTCGATTTTTTCCCCTCTCTCTTTCAATGCCGTCAAATCGACGAGAGAAATAAGTTTTGCATTTTCAAACACTCAAATGGTTGAAGTAAAGAGAAAATGGTCAAAAATGAAATGAGAAAAAAGAGTTCCGAGAGCTTTTTTTATTTCAGGAAATCAACTTGATTTTTGATTTTAGAGAGAAACTTTTAAATTTAAGGGAATTTGGAGGATTTTGAAGTTTGCAATAAAGTTTGCACTGAGAAGTTTACAATAAATGAAGCCTGGGAATAGATTTGTTGGGATTTGCGGTACTGTTCGGTTATAACCCCCGCCACCTCCGCCACTCTAAAATTTAAAAAAAAAAAAACGGTACTATGCGGTTAGCGCTCCCCCATACATCAAGTATTTATGAATTTAGTCTAGACTGATGTCAGTTCGGTAGAGGTTTTTGACGTTAAAGACCTCTATTCACAATAATCTAGGTGAATTTAACCTAGCTTGTGTCACTTGGGCAGACGTCTTTAACGTCAGTAGCTTGCAAGTCATCGATTCGGGTGATAACTTCCAAAATCTTGTCAACAAACGTCTTGGTTGTCCGATTAGCCACTTCAGTAAGGAAACATTTGTTTAGCATAACGAAAAAGTACCGGATTTGCTAATATCTAGTAAAAGGAAAAGGCAAATATAAAGAATGTATGTATTTATGAGTCAAAGTGTAATAGAAATGAGAAAAAGAATGGCTTGCTGTTTATGCTGGTAGCTTTTTTTTAACACTTGTTTGAATGGCAATCATACTGCTGGAGTACCTTGCAACTAAAAAAAGTGATTAGTGATTCGATACTGATTCTTTTCTTTTAAGGTGGATTTGAAAATCGAATGGAATTGCAAGTAAGCTTTTAAACGATAAATAAAAACGATAAATAGCATCGATAGCTTTTTCTGGGGATCATCTTTTCGAAAACGCAATGACAAACAGAGGAAGTTTGATCTATTTGATGAAGCCAAGATAGGAATAAGATAGGGATAAGATAGGGATAAGCAAGAACAAGAAATACATGACCAAACTAAACCCTTACCCCTTCAAGCGATTTCAACGCGTACACTCGATCAGCGGATCGTTTCCTCTGACGTAACGCGTGCTGTTGTTGCTGCTCTTTTTGTTGTTGATGAGAATTTTCGTCGTTTTCCCGTTCGCTCTAGAAACTAATGTTCTCCTTTTCCCATTCACTTTTTTTGTTTATTATAGCACTCTTTTCCTCTTTTACTTTATAATTACTGGAATCCGGTTTTCCAACTACAATAGCTGCATTAGTTTAGCTAAATAGCTAATAGCTAAATAGCTAATAGCTAAATAGCTAATAGCTAAATAGCTAATAGCTAAATAGCTAATAGCTAAATAGCTAAATAGCTAAATAGCTAAATAGCTAATAGCTAAATAGAAAAAGATTTCTTTAAAGAAAACCTTATACCCTGAACAATGTACACTCTAGATATGAGCTTTATGTTGAGCTGATACTCTAAAATCAATTTTACTTCGTCGAATTTGCTCCTGGCCTAAACGGCCTAAATGACTGAAAACTAGTCCAGGTTGAGCCCTGAATTTCAGCTTTCATTTGATATCTAAGCGCACACTGTAGCATAAACGAGTGCTGAGAAAAATGCGTTTAAAGTTAGACTACGCGATGCTCCGATCATTATATTATTAGCTACTATTAGCCCACTACTAGAGATATTACCAGACTAAACCCAATCGCTTTAAAACATCTCTGAAACACTTCAAGATGTGTGTATCAAAGTTATAGGTGCTAAATCTAAACTAAAGCCTCACCTGTGCTGGCGGGGTCGACTCGGAGTTGTGGCGTTTGTGTCGGCGTTGCGCCTGTCGCTGCAACGCGTTTAACCCGACCGATGAAGCGCGACGCTGAGGCTTTGGCTGATTTCTGAAACTAGAAATTTCATGTAGAAGTCGATTTTGACATTAGGTTTAATATTTGGTGAATTCTAGGACGGGTAATTGAATTGAGGGTTCAAAGAAACAAGTTGTTGTTGTTGTTGTTGTTGTTGTTGTTGTTGTTGTTGTTGTTGTTGTTGTTGTTGTTGTTGTTGTTGTTGTTGTTTTTGTTGTTGTTGTTTTTGTTGTTGTTCTTGTTGAGTTGAGAGATTTTGTAAGAAAAGGTGACAAAAATTGAACTAAAGAAATAGAACAAACTATGAAACTAAGGATTTCAAAACTTCGAATTTTCCCTAGTCGTTTCTTTTTAGTTTCTAGACGATTTTCTTTTGTGTGACTAGTTTTATCAAAGACTTTGACTCATCCCGGTAATGTGTACTGAATTTTGTGAAAAGAAAAGAAACACAAAATCACAGGTGGTGTTTTTTTTCGAGATAAAAGAGAAAAAAAGTCGAGAAAAACTGACCCGTCTTGTGTGGAAGTCTTTCGAAACGGAAGCACTAACGAGCTGAGAATGGAACGAGCGGAGAGAAGCGAGGCCGAGCGACGGACAATCGATCTAAAGATTGGGCTTCGATATTTGGAGTGTTCTCGAATATAATTAGCGTCTGGATCTAATTACTTTGAGACTACGGGTATTCCGGACAATCCCGGAAAATCCCGGACAAAAATCTAGATCTAAAACTGAACAGGATCGAGTCCTGAAGGTTTGACAAATCGACAAAACACTAACAATTTGCAACTTGACCTTACAATCATCTAATATTCATCATGAAATCGTTTTAATTTACTGGATTTAGTTTATAAGAAGAGCTCAAGAATTCTCAAATTCTTGTTTCTACCTGCCCAAGCGTTTCGTCCACGAGGCTTGTTCAGTGTTCGTCGTTTGCGAGGTGGCCGACTCGTTGCCGGACGTTCTCCTCTCAGGCATCATCACACATCATCAGACACCTGGGAATACTTCATCAACAACACCTAGAACAATTATAAAATCAAAAATAGAAAGATAGAAAGAGGTTGACGTAAAAAACAACAATCAGAAGATCTTTAAAAATTAAATTTGAGTAATTGATCAAAATGCAAATGATTTTAGCTCTTATACATTAAGATTTGAATCCCAAATTTCGTGGGGAATTCGAAATTACAACCGCCTTTTGCGAACAGCTGACTGATTCGCGACCAGCTGATCGCTAAACGAAAGATGTAGGTACAACTAGGCACTTAAACCTAATTGTTGATGATTATGGGTTATTACTAATCTAAACTAATCTAAACTAATCTAAATCATTGCTTAATGAAAAGTTTAGTTCTTTGGATAAAGAATAAAACAATTTGGGTATACTTAAGAATAAAACAATTTGGATAACTTTAAGAATAAAACAATTTGAATAACTTTAAGAATAAAACAATTTGGATAACTTTAAGAATAAAAAAATTTGGATAACTTTAAGAATAAAACAATTTGGATGACTTTAATAATAAAACAATTTGGATAACTTTAAGAATAAAACAATTTGAATAACTTTAAGAATAAAACAATTTGGATAACTTTAAGAATAAAAAAATTTGGATAACTTTAAGAATAAAACAATTTGGATAATAAGAATAAAACAATTTTGGTAACAAATCAAATTTATTCATATGGTTTTGTTTTTCAAAAGTCGATACCCGACTAATCGGAGAAAAAAAAGGTAAATCCACTGTTGGAAGAATGACGGAAGTGATCAAGCACAAGGTCAAATAGATAAAACAAAAAGAAATGAAGGGGGAAAATGATGGGAAAATGGGTGAAAAGTTTTGAGAAAAAAATGATTGGAAAAAAAGTAATTTTTGTGATCAAAAAGATCGTTCCAATACAACGAATAAGCAAATTGGGTAAAATTTTGAGTTCGAAATCATTTTTTAAAGATAATTCGATTCACAATTCGATTCGAACTGTATCAGAAAGTTGAATGTAGAAAAGCAGGTGTACTTTGTGCGTTCAAAAGTAGAGTTCGGGGTGTAACTTGCTTTAACCCTATCATCGGGAATGTTTTTGTTTCAGAATAGCTAAAAGCACAAAAGGTTAAACGGGCTGCCCCAAAACGCTCGTCATACAAGTACACAACGGATTGACGCTTCGTCGATGGCAACACAAATATTAGCAAATATTAGCAAACCCAGCGGGAAATTTCCCGCTAGGTGACCGTACCGATTTTTCCCTCAAGATTCCCTCAAGTTTTCCCGTGACCGTACCATCACCTCAGAAAGAAATTGCCTGCGGTAAACGTTGGAAATGTGATGGTACGCGGGAATTTTACCCGCGGGAAATGCTAGCAACTTTCCATTTAATCTAGAATCTAAATTTTCATTTCCTGAAAGGTGGTCAAAACTTACGGGGAAAAGGCCTTTTGCTGAAAGAATTTTGCGGAAACGTAGCACCCCATGAATGGCAGCATTAAATTATGCCGTTGCGACTTACTTTCCTTTTCCCTTATTTTTTTTATTGCGTTGTTCATTATTGTTATGTCTCTGGTAAATTTCTCCGTTTGTTATTTATTCTTATTTCTTTTTATTGATTTGGTAATTTTTTGGTAATAGCTAGTGGAACTCAGGAAGAAAAACAATTGAAATAGGATTTCTCATCAAAGGTTTCCCATCAAAGGTTCAAAGGAAAAGGTTTCCCTCCGCAATTTTCCCGCGGGAAACGTTTCCCGCGAGGTGATAGTTCGGGCTCAGCTATCTGAACAGAATTTAGAAATTTAAGGGTAGTTTAAAGTCGATCGGATTTATAATTTTACGGTTTATTAGTAAAGAAAGGCAAAGATACCCATTACAAAAACAGCGTGGGCGTGAAGAAAAACATCAAATGCCGCAAGAACGAGGGCAAAACTTCAGACCCAAAAGGGTGAGACACACACACACACACACACAACTTCTGCCGAAAAACTAAAAAAAAGAAATTTGGGGGAGAGAATGAGACGAAAAAGCGACGCAAATTAAATGTAAAGCGGAATGAAATGAAAAAGCGACGCAAGTTAAATGTAAAGAGGAATGGAACGGAAAAGTGACGCAAATTAAATGCAAATAGGAACGTAATTTTTGAAGGGAGCGGACACGACCAGCCCTTTTGATGCATTTTTGTTTTGTCACTTTCTCGCAACAACTGATTGGTGTGCCGAGAAAAAAAACAAATGCATCGAGTGCACCAGAAAGGGAGCATTTCAAAATTTTCTTGAGCAATTTGCACAGATCTACATGCTGATTTGAAAGTGAATAGTCCAATAATGGAGGCATAAACGGCATCAGATGCGTGAGGGTGTGTGCCTTACATTTTTTTTCTTTCTTTTTACCCCACCCATCGATGGTCGATCCTCCCACCCATTCATCGAAAATCGGTGACGGGGAACGGGTTTCGCCCTCCCATTCCCTTTCTCTTTCTCTTTCTCTACCTCACCCACGAATCATTGCCAAATTTTCTCCAATGAAGAGAAAAATCAGCGGAAAACGTCAATTTTGTCTTTTCCTAGTAAAATTTGGAAAAATTCAATAGTTTCGCCGAACTCATCCCAGTTTTGAGAGCCACTTCACTCGAATTTTCATTTTTTTTTTTTTTTCCCCCGTTTTTTTGGAAATCCTCGAGCAAATTGTGGTCACCGTTACGTCAAAATTGAAAGGTGAAAAGTTTTTGCACTGATTAGTATCCAAAAATCCATTTAGAAATGCAGTTTGAAAGTTGAATGTTTTAGCAATGAAAGTTCGTATCAGAGAAAACATGTGGGGGGAAATACCCAACATTGGCCTAAACCTTTTCCCGATAAGAAAATCTGAAATGAGGAGGAAAGTTTTTTTCTTTTGACTTTACGAAGTCTAAGAGAGAGTTCACTGATAAATGGGATGACCTAAAAGAGGTGAAAATTTCTTTCGTCAGCTGACTAAAATCTCTAAAAAGAGAAACGTGACCTTAACTCGTATTTTGAGAAAATTTTTTTAGTATCCAACAATCCATTTAGAAATGCAGTTTGAAAGTTGAATGTTTTTGCTTTCAAAAGCTTTCAAAAACGTAGATAATGGAAATGTTTTGACGTGGATAAAAAAGATGTGGGAGTTAAAAAGAAAGTTCGTCGTTGAGAAGTGAACTGTACAAATTTGGGCAAGGGTAATTTAATGTTTGTTTAGCAAATACAAATAGACTTAAATAAAATCGTTATTTCAATGAGGAAAACAGTAAAAAAGAAGTGTAAAAAGTAGAAAAAAAAGTATAGAAATGATTGGATACGACTTTTCGAGGCATTTAAAGTGATCTAGAGTGTGTTGAGTAACGTTTTCTAATGTTACTCAACATCCTCGATCCACAATATACCTTCGTTTCAACTTACTCTAGATTCTAGATAAAATAGATGGCTAAAAATCGATGAAAGATGCTATTTTCAGGATGTGGAAATGATTGCTAAAGGTTTCAAATAGGCGAGCAAAAAGGATAAGAGAATGGCCTTGAAACGCGCTGGTTCACAGGTCATCTACATCGAAAATCACATAAAACTTGAAAAGCGGAATGGGAATAGAGCGGAATAGAGCCGAATAGAAATTCCTGTGCCTTGTGGGGTTTAAAGATTTAGCTAAAAGCTCATTATTTTGACTAAACTCGATAAATAAGCGACTAAGCGAAGCCAAGCCGAAATCAATTGACAAATCACTGAACTGAGTTGCCTTTTTTAGTCCAAAAAACAAGCCAACAAAAAAAACAAACAAAAAAATCTAGCCATAAGCTGAAGTCTATTAGATCAAAGCTAAGAAAATCACACAATTTTAGTGTAAAAGCACATTGGCCTTGAGGTTGGAAAGATGAAGAAGAAAGGGGAAAGGCAGGGATATGCTCGCGCATAGCACAGTGGTGGTGAAAGAGACGCAATGAGGGGCATGGGTGGTGATTGTCAGATCCACAAATCGCCATTACACTATCGCCGAGCTGTGACCTATGCATATCCATATATCCATCCAACAATTTTGAGCAGTATTGCACACACCAATTACTGGCACATTGGCGACATTGAAAGCCTTTTCATGAGAGCAAATTCGTGTTGCTTGTGCTCTGATATGACTTTTTTCAAGTTGAATACAAGAAATTGTAAATAAGGGATGAGAATTTTACAGGAGAGTTTAATAAAATGATATCTTTATGATGACACATTGCATATTCAGCCTAGAATAGCTAAATCACGGTATTCAGTCAAGATTAGAGTATTCAGTCTAGATCTTTAGCATCTCAGTGCCTAATTGAGCAAAAGCCAGTGTCGATTTCTAGCTGTAGACAAAATTTCCGAGCAATCGGCCAAGAAACGGCCAAGAAAACGAAGGTTGAATTAGGTTCGGCTTGAGATTTTCTCATTTCTAATACATTTGTCCCAAATTCTGGCCCAATACATCGATTTTTCTTTGACTTACATGCGGATTCGATTTGGTGCATCATTGAATGCGCATTACACATTAAAGTAATCCATAAAGATATCATTTTATTAAACTCTCCTGTAAACTTACATCCCTTATTTACAATTTCTTGTATTAGGTTGATGCAAAAGTCTTTTTCATTTTTTTCGTACTTCCGTTAAAAAGTAACAAATGCACCAATTGAACAACGGTTTATTGCATTCGAAAGGTCATATTTTTCTGCAAAATGACATAAAACGAGTTTAAAATGTCTTATTTTTTGAGAGCCTGAAGTCGGGTGGTCAAAAAGGGACGGCTCGATGATGCATTTAGGGCAGGAAACCAGTCTTGATGTTAATAAATAAAAGATAGGCCAAAAGTTCGATATTTTTCAGATTTTCAGAGAAATTGATTCAGCCAATTTCTTTATAGGGGTTTTTATAGATTTTTAGAAAACCCGTTTCCCCCGAATTTGCTTGAAAGTGAACCCAAATTGACTTAAAAGGTGGGAAATCACAATAAACACTTTTCATTTGAGCAACCATAGGTTATTTTTCAAAGAGACGAAAGACTTTGCCAACCTAATATTTAACTTGAAAAGTGTCATATCAGGGCACAAGCAACACGAATTTACTCACATGAAAAGGCTTTCAATGTCGCCATGCATAAAATGGTGTCATTACACATTGTCATTACACATCGATGTATTGGGCCAGAATTTGGGACAATGTATTAGAAATGAGAAAATCTCAAGCCGAACCTAATTCTACTTTCGTTTTCTTGGCCGTTTCTTGGCCGATTGCTCGGAAATTTTGTCTACAGCTAGAAATCGACACTGGCTTTTGCTTAATTAGGCACTGAGATGCTAAAGTCAAAGCTTGAATCCCGTTATTTCATGAAATTTCAATCATAGCTTCAAATGGTTGAACTGAACGGATCAAGAGATTCAACTGTATTTGACTAGTTCTATTATAGTTTAAACGTCTGTAATACTTTGGGATTTTAATTTGGATGGTCCCGACGGCAACAAGTACTATTGGCACGATTTGAGAAAAGATCCAATGCTTTGTGGGCGTCGAAACTTCGGTGGAAAATCACTGATGATATGGGGCGCTTTCAATGTGGATGACGTTGTTGATCGTTAAAATTTCTGACTTGTCGCATGAACTCGAACCAGGGCGTTCTTGCGGATTGAATGGATCAAGAGTTTCAACAGTATTTGACTAGTCGACGCCCACAAAGCATTGGGTCTTTTCTCAAATCCTGCCAATAGTACTCGTAGTCTATTATAGTTTAAACGTATGTAACACTTTGGAATCTTGTACTTTTCCTTTCTTTCATCAATTAGATAATTTAAAACTTATTTATTTATATTTATTCGACTTTGAATGCACATAGAGATATTTTTTTCAAAAAAAAAACGGGGATGACGATTGTGTGAGCAATAGAGAAGGGAAATGTGTGTAAAAGAAATGAAAGAAATGAAAGTAAGGAAAGTAAAGAAAGTAAGGAAAGCAAAGAAAGTAAGGAAAGTAAAGAAAGTAAGGAAAAAAAATCACAAGACTACGACAAATTCTATATGCACATATGATGGAAATGGGTTTTTTTTGCAACATTTTATAGATATAGGGGATCACGAAGGAAGAGTGCTTTCGAGTTTCAGTGCATTTTCTTGCTACAGCTACAGTATACCCTCGATCCACAATATACCTTCCCAGATGCACGAAAATACACTGAAGCGACAGTACCGTTCAACTTAAAAATCGAATTTTTTTTAGAGCAAATTTCTCAAACGGGAAACCATTGAACCAGTAAGCGGAAAGCGGGAAATGGGTAATTTTTTGAGATTTCAAGCGCCGATTGGGTAAATAAATCGATCTTTGGAAAGCCGGTTTCAAACTTTTCAGCTTTCAGTTTTCAGCTTACACCTGAGCACCCAATCTAGCGCATTGAATCCCAGAAATTCAGAAGAAAAGGCAATTTAAGATTTTTGTAAACGCACAGCCACTGGTAACACCCATAAAATAAGAAAAAAAAGGCGAATTCGATGAAAGGCGAAAGTGTCATGAAGTGGGAAAAAAGAAAAAAAAGAATTTTTTTGTAAATGACATTCAACAAGGCAGCTTTTGGGATATTTTTGGGGATAAAAACTAAGAAAAACTAAGCAAAAATAAATATTTTTCACAAATCAATTCGATTTCGCTAAATTGTTCTTCAACAACTCCATCAATTGATTGCCGTGTTGAGCCAAGAAAGCGTTCATATCGACCGGATTCGTTGTGGTCGAGGTGGGCAAACTGGAAAATGCATTTGAATGGATAAATGAACCGAAATCTCGTAGACGATTTGAGATTTTCTATTCAAAGTCTACTCAAAATGTACAAATTTCAACTCGAGTTGAGTAAATGAAATCCATAAAGCTCACTCACCCATTGCCCAAATTGTACAACTGATTCTCGTATCGTAGCGAATCATCGGTGCTTCTCCGTCCACCGTCCACACTCGGCACTCCGCTACGCTCGAGTACAGTCGACACTCGACCAGAGATTTGCTGCAGTGTCTTCAAGCATTGCTCGTTCAAGGCATCTCGTGTTCGATCGGCTACATCCGATTCGCGTAACTGAAAATGGCAAAACATACAAGTGCATTTGATTTCCTGTTTTCAAGCCAAAGCCATGACTAGCCTAGACCATATTTTTTTTAGCCCTAGTGATATCTAATTGTAATCTAACTGTAGTACAATAAAACCGTAACTGGTACAGTACCATTCCAGCATTCCGAATTCACACACTCACCAGCTTCTCAGCGTGTAATGCTTGATCAACAGCGATCAACGCTTGTTTCAGCGCCGCGTCCACATGTCGTACCATCGGTTGATCTTTTTCGGGAATCTGCGTAAGCAAATCGGATGGACCTGTCGATGGGGCACGAGCGCTTTCATCTGATGCCAAATCCGGAGCAACATCGCCTTCTCTGAAACGGATTGATTCGAATTCAGCTATATAAATACAGGGAATTAAGTATGCGCAAAATCTAGACGAAAAAAAAAATTTAGAATAACGAACACACCCGGCCAACTTGCTCGCCAAATAATTTCCCCGTCTTGTTGGTGTAGTCGGTCCACCATTCACCCCAATGCTCCCGTGTTTCGGATCAAAAAGTCGACGGCTGCTCGCCACTGCGCCTCGACTTTCAACCGATGAAGAGGATCTGAAAGTAAAAAAGTACAGGTATTCAATGTTTAATAGAATAGATCACTAGGTTTAAAGCTCATCAGAAATCTAATTTTAAAAAAGAAAAAAAACATATCAAACACATATCTTTTAACAAGTTTAAGTCACTTTTTTTTCAAAAAATTATTGCCTTTCGCGTTGATGTTTGTCTAGAACTAGCGCTCACTGTGGCAGGGAGGTCGGATAAATTAAGTTTGTCACAAACTCTCGTTAAGTTTTCTTTGGTTTAACTCTTTTTGGTGAAATTTAGTGATCGAGCTTCAATGAATCGCTTTTTCGCATAACAAATTGAGTAAAAAGGAAAAGGAAGGAAGTGAGTAAAAGTAAAAGATTTAACAAATTTCTATTATGCAGTATCTTTTTCTTTGTTTTCTCACCGATTCCCGGTCACTCCAAAGTACCGGCGACCGATCGCTTGTCCATTCAGCGATCCGTTCATTGGACTAGCATCGGAGGTGTTCGAAGCCGAGTCTAAATTTGATACGAATCTCATAAAAATTATCGCCGAAGTACTATATTTCGATAATAAGTTATGCTAAAGTAAGCTTAAGACGGTTAATCATTCATATCATTTACGAAAATTTTTGACATAAGCTCACCCGATTCTTCACTCGTCCCCACCGTGCCTCGTCCATTCACATTTGATGGTCGATTTCGAGGATGATAACGCTCGACCTAATATTGAAAATAAAGATTTCAACGTTTTTAAAGATTCATTAAAGATTTAAGTATCCATTCTTTTTAAGCAAATCATTAGCAAATTAATTTTCGCAAAAAAAATTTACCCGTTTTTGAACGGCTCCTCGGCGGATGAGGCGATCTTGGAATGAAGTGCTTTCCTCGAATTGATCCGGTTGAGTCAAATCGGGATTGCTGAAAAGATGAATAGGTTACTTTTTACAGAAAAATCAGAAAAAAAAAAAAAGAGTTTTCCCTGATTACCTAGCCTTTTTCAACATTTGAATTGTATGCGCGAGTTGATTCGACGCCGTTTGAGCCTTTGGTGCGCTTTCCTCCGACGCTGACACGTTTCCCATCGATCGAGCGAGCAAACGGGAATGGCCGAGTGAGCTGGAAATGTTGACTCTATATATTCATCTTTTTTAGAAGTTATTCACTCTTTAGAAAACAATATTGTATCACAAATGACATTTGCTCACCTTCCCAACTTTGGCTTTGTCGCTTCGACATCAAACGTGCCGAACGGCTCTAATTGATTACCGTTTCTAAAAAGAAAAATGAAAGTAGTATAAATTGGTGAATTTTTACCTCAAATTTCCAATACTCTTGCTTCGTAGCACAGAGGATGGAGCTTGAAGGCCTCCATTTATCCCAGCAGCTCCCTCATCGCCCATGATATTCTCAGTGGATTGACGAAGCCTGGAAATAGAAAAATTGTATGTGAAACTTGTTTTTACTCAGCTCTCAAATCATTGTCATAATGTCACAATGCTTCATTTAACTCAGATATCACAATCATCAAATTTGCTCACAAGCGTTTCTCCATTGAGTAACTATTGAGTAAGTTTCTCTATTGAGTAACTGATCTAAAGTACCGTGAAAGGGAAAATCTCAAGATATTTGGCGAATTTCTCATATTTCCCCCAAAAACCCACTTGCTCCTCATATTCGCGAGCTTGTCGAGTGCTTGATTCGATTTTCGAATGCCTTCCGGTTGATTGAGATTCGTTCGACTCGACGTCAATGCTCGCGATGAGGCGGACAAGTGATTTTGCATCGACATGTCCGAATCCTAAAGCTTCTTTTATTAATTTTGAAATAAAATCTATCAAAGCATAGATAAAAATAATTTGACAGTCAAAGTTCGTTTTTTTTGTTAGTTTTGAGGGGGAAAAGTTAATCGCAGATTTGAAAGATTTTCGTAAAAAATTTCCACCGATCTCTGCCGTGGTTGTTGCTCGGCTATTGGGTTGAGTGGCTGGAGAAATGAGGTTAGAAATTAGAAATTAGCAATTTCTGCCTTTTCTTATAGCTTTTCGTTAGATATGGTTATATTTGATGAGTGAATTTCGGTTATTTATTTATGAGATTAGCTTTAAGTGAGATCTTAAATTATTGAAAAATTAAAAATCAAAAATTAAAAATTAAAAAACAAAAATCAAAAAACAAAAAACTCACCCGTCGCCTCGGTGTCAACAAGCCGGCTGAAAGCAAATGATTCGGACTTTGACTTCGACTTCGCAAGTGCAAATTTGACGATGAGTAGTCGTCGGCTGAAATTTTCGGCTGGTAAAGAATGAAGGTAAGGCTTTAGATGATAATAGACAGTAGATAATAGACAGTAGACAGTAGACAGTAGACAGTAGACAGTAATCAGTAATCAGTAATCAGTAATCAGTAATCAGTAATCAGTAATCAGCAATCATTTGGCTTATGCGTAAATCAAAAAGTGCAAACTTTTTGTGCTAAAAAAATGTTAGCAAAGCAGAAAAATGTTAAATGAAAGATTAAAAGCAGCACAAATGAAAAATCAAATGAAAACTACTGTAAAGTTCCAGCTTCTTGACCCAAAAAATAGTTAGTTAATAAACCTGAGTATTTTTCAAATTATCAAGGCTTGAATTATTGTAGTTTATCACGAAACTGTAGCAAGATGTAATATCAAGAGTTTCCAGTAGTAGTAGTAGCCAAAAGTAGCCAGTAGCCAAAATAAAAACAGTTGTCAAGACCAACTATTGCTAGAGAAAAGTGGCTGGAACTTTACAGTATCGTTTAAGCCTTTCAATATTTCAATTAATACTGAATATATTTTCATTTGTTAGCCTCTTCACCCCTTCTTGTCTCTCTTTGATGTGTTTGTTGTTGTGGTTGTTGTTCTTGAATGTCTTTCATCCGGCCGAATGTCTTCGAGCGTCGAATCTTCTCGCTTGTCGCCGATGTCGATGGGGAGATCCGATTGTTGCCAGCTGTGCTTTCTAGAAATGTTAATCAACTAAATTTTTCGTTAACTAGTAAAAAAAAAACAAAAAGCCACTCAAAATTAGAAATTCTCACACCAAATGTTATTTTGTTTCATTTTTATCGCATTGAGAATCAGTTAGTCATTTTTGGGGAATGTCTGAAAGAGGAAAAACATGTTATTGAAGTCAATTATTAGATCCAATATATAGAGTTATCTATATATATATATATGTTGTGTCCGATTTAGATTGAATCTAAATCGGACGTCCGATATAGACTGTAATCTAAATCGGACGTCCGCGATAAGTTCAATCTAAATCGGACACAACATATAGATATAATTATCTTTATTATTAGTAGCAAATTTGGTTATTTTTTTCATAGATTAGATCAAAACTCAGGCAAGGAATTCGCTAAAAATTTCATGGTGTTTAAGAATCGACCAAGATTAGTCGAACTATAAGAATATTACTATTATATCAGTTTCAGAATGTCTACAACTGGAACTCTACTTATAATGAGAAAGTTAAGTAAACTAAACAAAACTCACGTCGTCTGGTGATCGCTGAGGCGACAGCTCCAGTCGGTGGCCCGCTCATTCCACCGTTAAGACCGCCCGTCAGTGTCGACATCGTTCGCCTCGATTGGGGTGTTTCTCGCAATTGGGACGATGAAGTGGATCCACTTGCTTGGTGTGGAGACCAAACGGTTTGCGCCTAAAAAGCTTGCGTACATGCGTTTCTCCACAGTAAACCGACCGGTTTCGGTTGCAAAGCGATTGATAATCCCTTGTTGAGAAAAGTTTTCGACAAAGAGACCCGCTGTTGATCACTTCGATTGAACGGGCTTTGCACGGTTTTCGGCGAGCTTGAGAGACGAGCCTGCCCAAGTCGTTGTTGCATCGAGAGAGGAGCCGTGTCTGGAAAATGGTAGCATTGGAAATGAATACCTTTACAATTGTTCGACTATTGCTAAATCTTTATGCCTAAAACAAATTCATTCAAAAACTTGTTGAAGTGCTCAGGTAGCTCTAAAATCACTCACAATTCCCATTCGTTGGCGGAGAGACGAATGTTGATGGCATGGGCATGGCATAGACGTTCTCCTGATTGTTGTTGTTGTTGAGGAATTGGGGATTCGTTGGCGATGAGTGATTTGACGATTGTCCCTTTTGTCCACCGTGACTCCCCTCGATCAATCCGGCTAATAGCGAGTGACTGTTGAAGTCGGCTTCTAGAAATTCAGAAATAGATTCAAAGAGAGTTAAAATCTAAGCCAAAGCTTTCTTCTAAGCTAATTGTAAGTAATCAAATTTTAAAAAATGAATCTTAACAAGATGATAAGATTTGTAAAGAGATCAACGTCATGTCAGCGCTTTTTCTATCTTTGAGGAGTGATTGAGGAAGGTCAAAGGGACTAAGAGAGCCAGGTGGCTGGGTGAAAGCCGGAAAAGACTCCAGGTCAATCCTTGGTCATTATGATAGTCATTATGATCTTTATGAAGAGCTTTGAAGTGGGATCCCTAAGTCCACAGTATTACGCTTGGCTCAAAACCCCTTTCAATATGTACATTGTGCTTAATTTGCAAACGCATTCTCTCTGGCGCACTTTGCTCTCAATTTTCCGGTGACAATAGACAAAGTGTTGGTGAAAAAATGAGCGTTGAGTGCACCAAAAAGGATGCGTTTTTGAAATTACAAACACACAAAGTACACGCACCAAAGAATAACGTTAGAATCGATATTTTTCTTGTTAACTAAGCTCCTAACTTTAGATAAAGCCTATTTTTTTTTGGAAAAACAAATCCAAACAAACCTCTCCGCTCATCGCTGACAATTAGCGCAAGAATGACCATAAATTTGATAAGCCAAAATATAGCAGAGTACTTTTATTAAGGACTTTTATCAAGTGATACTCGAAAAACACCACTAATCAGCTTAAGGCCCGATAAAAAGTGAGTGGATAAGATCGATCTCTAGATTGGATCATTCATCCATTTCTCTTTTCTCTTTCTGTGTTTTGGAGCGAAATTTTTTACACCACTCCTGAAAGTCTCTTCTTTTCCCATTTCACTAAGTGGCGGGTAACTCAAAGGATTTTTAAGATTCGATCATATCAAACTTGCTAAAGGTTTTGAGGTGGGAAAAGCTGGACTTTTTTTTTTTGCAAAGAATCGTTGCCTAAGCCTACGTCTAAAGCTAGCATAATCTTATCTCTATTTTATCGAATTTATCAACTTTTTTTGTCTACTTAGCTCAAAAGTTCATAAAGGATATCGAAAGATATAAAAAGTGGATAGATTGAATTTTAAAAAAAGAGACAAGATTACGATAGTTTTGGGAGAAAGAGGCATTTTTTAGAAAAGGGATGAAAGGAGATGAAAATAGTGTTGAAAAATAGATTTTTTTCAAAGCTAAAGAAGAGTTGAGTAACTAAAAACAATTTACAAGATTTAAATACCAAATTGAAATGAAAATCATGAAAAATCATTGTAAATTCCGTGACCCTTTCTTTCGTTTCCCCCAGCCAAACACGATCCACAAATTTATGGGATAAAAATCGTAAAGTCATTTGTTGTGTTTAAGTGAAAAAGGAAGCAGATGTTCATGGGGAAAATTTGTGAAATTTTCAGAAGAAAGAGAGGGTTCAAATTTTTTGAATAAAATCAAAACACAACCTAATAAAAAGAATTTTTATTTTAAATTTTAGTATTGCGCCAAATTTTGCATGAAAGACGAGACGTTCAAGACGAAAACTCAGAAAAAGCTCTAAAAAAAGAAAATTGAATCGTAAGAATAATCGTTGATTCAGTGCCAAAAAAAAACACTTTCTTTTCTGTGTTTTTCCTTGATTTTCCTTGAAAACGCCGCCGATTTGTTATGCAAATTTTCGCCTCGCCAAAACTTTTCCCCATTTACAAGAACTTCCACATTTCTTTGTGGAAAAAGAAAGTGAAAAAGAAAGTGAAAATGAAAGAAATGAAATGAAAAAGTCAAAAACTTTGATTTTCTAGATTTGCTAGAATTCTAGATTCAGAAAATATCTCATAAAAAACCTTTTTTCAACTTTTATTTGAAAAGGAAAAACAACTCACGACTTTCGTCGGCCCATTGTCTTCGCGGAGTGCGCGGTTTACGCGGTGATTCCTGTTGTTGATGATGGGGAAGGCGAAGGTTTTGCATGCTCTAAAGATAAAAGATAGAAGATAAAAGGTTTTTTTATCCAGATTTAAGTTTATAAATGTTAAGAATTATAGAATCTATAGCACAATTTGAGACAAAATTTCATTTTTTCTCTTTTCTCTCGCGTTCAAAACTTCTATTTATGAGTTTTTTAATGAAAAAGCTGCCAAAAAAAGATATTAAAAAAATAGAATTGAAAGCCTTTTTTACATTTTTGAGTAAATTTTATTGGCCACTTCCCACCTTTGACGAAGTATATTGTTTCGGGGCGCGCTCGTAGAGAAGCGATGCAGCTAGTGGCGTCTCTTCTGGATCCTTTTCTAAACAAAAAAGCATTATAATGTGTCCTCTATTAGTTAAATACTTCATTTCAAAACTATTTCTACAATAATTTACCAGAAGTTAAGTCGAAATTCGATCCAGATTGTCCGAAATTGCTCCCTCCACCGTGTCGTATCACCGATTCGACGCGACGCTCGACTTCGAGACCTCTAAAAAAAAGAAAAAGATTATAATTTGATTAGATTCCATTAAAAAAAACTGATTAGAAATTGTCAGTGGTAATATTCTGAGCCATTAAAGTCATCTAGAAGGTTTACTAGACACTTTGATATTGTAAAATTGTAAAATTTGAACTTTCTAACGAAACTTTAAGATTTAAACACGCAAAGCTCTTGAAATCTAAATCCTAGTGTCCTTTTTTTGCTCATGGATATTATAGCTTGGTGTAAGTTTAATTGCTAAGAAAATTTTACGAGCTACAAAACCTCGCCGTTGAGTGTGACCGAGGGCAAATTGGTGGTAAATGAGTAACGACAATTGCCGGCAATGAGTCAACACTCTTGGACATCATTTTTGAATGATAATAATCAAATAAGTGAATGATAATAATCAAATAGATAAGTTTTAAATATTTAGTAGTTTAAGCACTGAATAATAGTATTCTAGACAATAATAGTATCGTTATTCTAGACAAAAATCAATCACATCTTGGAGTGGAATGGGAAAACTTGAGGGGGAAATGGTCAAAAATTGAGCTCAGACTCAAATTTCCAGCTGGCTTTGATACAGAATATTGTTAACAACTGAATATCAATATTTCAAGTTCCCCAGGGTTTCAGGTAGTCTAAATGGTCCTTTCCCCAATTTCCCAATCTTTTTCCCTTTCATTTTCCTCCATTTTTCTCTCCTAGGATTTTTTTTCTCAAATATTACTGCTGACAATGTGTCACTTGAAAAGAGAAAAGAGAAAAGAGAAAAAAAAGAAAAGGAAAGATTAAGACCCATCTCTTTTCCTTTTTTTTCAAGGCCTAACGACCCCGGAGGACATTACTTTTTTCGTTTTTTATTGGTGGACCCAAATGTTTGATTGGACAGAAATGCAAGATAACATAACAAGAGGAAAAAAAAATTCGATTGTCTGGGAGAAAACGGGTAAAAACGGCTGGGTAAGCAAAGAATTACTAGTTATATCGTTAAGTTGACCAAAGTCTAGCCCTTTGTTACACCACAAAATCCTTGAATCAGGACAACTCAAGCCTAGCTTCACAGCGAGTGCGTCAGAAAGCGTGTTTCCATTGTGAGAGCACAGAGTACATCCTACAGTTTAACCATTTTTTTTTTGGTTGTCAAAATGTAACTAATAACTAAAGCCTTGTGAGCAGGGTAGAGCTTGGCTAAGCTTGACTGGGCAGGAACTATAAAGGAATGCGCAAGAAAGCGTGTGTATGTGCAAGCTAAACCAAGCCAAGTACACTAAGGCCAAAGTTTCAGCTAAATTTGAATAAACCGCTTCACGAAAACGACTGGGATTGATTTTTATGATGAAAATTGTCATTTTCACTATCCAATGCTTTCGAATCAATGCCAAAATGGGAAGTGTTTAAACGATTTTTTTGATTAGAAAGAATTTCCGGGGATCGATTCGGGATGAAAAGGGAAAAAAGACAATGAATGACAATGAATTCAAGAAAAAAAAAAAAAAAATACAAAAAGTTCTTTTTGTATTCTCTATTCAACGAAAAGCATTCACGGGGAGTAACCCGACACTCAAAAAGAATACAAAAGTTTTGCTGACTTTGAAAAGGTCGGAAAAGGTTGAAAATCGTTAAGGTCAAATTTAGAGATGCTTTTATGGAATTGCAATATATTTTAGCAATCTGAGGGTTTCAAACTAGCTCAAGTAGTGCAAAGAAGAAGAATTATCAATTCCAATCAGTCTTGCAGATGGAAAGAAAAGCGGAAAATTGAATTTCTTTGAATTGTCAAAGAAAAAAAAATCAACAAATGGGGCAGTTACATTTTTCCGCTTTTTCCGTCGCAGTGCCCGTAGCTGCCCCATTCGTTGAGTTTTGCTTTAAAAATCAAAAGCTATTCAATTTTCCGTTCACAAGCCTGATTCCAATCAAAGTGCATTTTGGCTTTTTTTCAAATCTTCTTCTGAAAAACGAAAACTAGAAAAATTCGATGAAATGTTTTTCAAAGTCAAATCGAAAGCTATGCGGATTTCATCAAGGAATTTCCGTAAAAGGAATTGAGTCGATGAAATGGAATGAAACAAAAGTGGACGAGGTCAAGATTTATGAGCGGATCATTCGGAGAAGGGGAAAGATTAGCGCTGAAATCGAGAACTTTAGCTATACGCTTATGAATTTGAAACGAATTTCGAATGAATGGCCGAAATGAATAGCCTAAACGAGCACAATTTTACAATCACTTTCCCCGATTTTTACGACCATTCCCTATTGTCTTTTTTCGTGACCAGCTGGGCATTGTTCGCAAGAGTGAGAGGCTCTTACTGCTGTTGTTTTGAAGTAAAACAACTATAGACAAGTATAGCTCGAAGTCCGAACCCCAAAAGTACTTACAAAAGCTATTCAGTTGCTTTTTATGGAGTACGATCTACTCAAAACTCTTTGCAACTAAATTTTGATATCAAGAAAATCCTATAAGACGAAAGAAGCTTAGTCCTAGCAACCTAGAAACCCTAGTACTGCAAAAGTTTACATCCAAGTTTCAAGTCTTCCAAGTCCGTAAATACTGCAGCTATAAGATAAGCATCAATGTTGCGGTGAGTTAGAGCAAGGACTGTTAATTTTCATCACTCAAAGCCTCACCTGACTCTCGTCTTTGCCCGATCTATACTCTTCGAAACTCTAGAGAAATATTTCTTGTACATGATTTAGAAAAGTATAAATTACAGACGAAATTATCAAGAATGAATTGAAAATTGACTCCCCTTAGTTTCTCAGTTTCAGAATCGACAAGGGGAAAAGATTATTTGCCCCCGAGATGTAAATGTTTGTCATCGAGAAGGGAAGAAAGAAAAAAAAAAAGGAGAAAGATTGATTCAAAAGATTGCTGATTGCTGATTACTGAAAAAAAAATGATAGCATTATCGTTTTCATTTCGATGAAAATTTCCGTTTTCTTTAGCTTAAAATGATTTAATGATCTCGTGATCTTTACTAAAGTTCAGAAAAAACTAATCATGATAAAAGAAATCACTTTTTTTTTTTAAAATTCATTTAAACTCAGAAAAAAAAAGAAATTCGAATTTTTTGAATACTTGTAAAGGGAAAATGTTTGATTTCGATTTAGAATTTGATTTACTAGAAGACAAAAATTAGATTTCTAATTTGCTTAAGTGTTTCTAATCTTTTTGTTCAATTTGCTGACAATCTGACTAAGATCCGAGGCAAGTTCAAGTTCAATTCAAGAATTATCAAACTTTTATCAAGCTTTCAATTCAAAAGTAAGCTCTTTTTGGGGTAAAATTCTTAATGAACGATTGTTAGTCGACGGGGAATTTGCATAACTGACTGGAATTTCTTCGTTTTTCGAGGTCATTTCCCCACAATCAAGACGATTCACTCAAGCGAAAGGGGTAAAATCTCCGCCTCAAGGTTGATGATGGACAAAGAATTGGAGAAGATTGAAAAGAATTGAAAAGATTGAAAAGGATTGGAAAGGAAAAGGGAAAAGAAGTCAAAATATCTTTGTTCATCAAAATCTTTATTTTGATGAGATTTTCCGATAATGAAAGCCTCAATTAACCCAAAATCTTTATCGAATTTCACCGAAATTTTGCCGATTTTTACGAAAAGTGTAAACAAATTTGAAGAGAAATTTTAAAAATGATAAAAATTTAGAATTGGATGATAGCTTTGATATATTGATATATTGATAGATTAAAGCAAAAGTTTTGAAGCAAGAGTTCTCAAGCAAGAGCAAGAGAAGCAAGCATTAAAGCAAGAGTTCTTGAATTTAAGTCCAGTCAAGCTCGACAGTCATTCTCTCTTCGGCATGTACTTTATGCTTTCCCAAAATTTCTAAACGCATCCTTCCTAGTGTGCCGAGTTTTTCGTTTTTTCTAAGATGAAGGTAAGATGAAGAATCTAGTATGCCAGAGAAAAGGTGCGTTTAGGTATTTTTAGAGCACAAAGTACATGACAAGACTACAAAGAGAACGTAAGATTCAAAAAAAAAAAAAAAAAAGAATTTTCGTTCTTTTTGAAAGCTTTGATCAAAGAAAAATCGATATTCTTAGATTTTTTTTTCTCATTCGTGAATCAAAAAGCCTAAACATATACTCAAAAAAAGGTCGATTTCATTGATTTTTGTTCAAAATTTTTTTAAAAATTCAAAATACTCATTGTTTTAAGTAATTTAAAAAAAAATAGACTGAAAAGCGAAAAGATTTCGTTTGAAAATTCAGCAGATAGAAGAAAAAGGTTTCAAAGATTTTTCAAAGACAAAGATCCAGTTTCAAAAAGATTTGTGAAATGTTTTTTTGAAATTGAAAAATATTGTCTAAATTGAAGCACAAAGAGATCGTTTTTTCTTTTGCGACTGCACAAATAATATTCAGCCAAAATATTGAAGTAAATATTGAGCAAGTCACGACAAAAATTCATATCAAAAAAAAAAAGAAAGAGTGGATTTAGATAAAAATTGCCAAAAACTTGAACTCTAATCCTTGTTTTTGCTCAAATTTTACCGCATTTCTATGCGAAAAATATTTGTTTTGGCGAAAAGTTAGGCTGAGAAATCGAGCTTTATTGAAAATTGGAGAATTGAATACGAACTAAGCCAGTTCTTTTTTTTGTCAAAATCTTTGATTTTTTTATGATCGACAAATCATTTCGAAAAACGAACGGTTCAGCTACGCCAGAATGGGTGTGTTTGCAGATTTTCAAAAGTACAGAGTACACGCAAAACAAAAGAAAATTCGTTATTTTCTAAATTGGATAGTTTTTAGCGATCAAAGTGTTCAAGAAAAGAAGTTTTTTTTTGCAAAAAGGGAACTTTTTGAGCGGGAACTTTTGCGCTAAAAACAGTTGGAAGTTGTGAAAATTTCAAACAAAGACCCATAAAAAAAAAAAGAAAATTCGCAATAAAATCGATCCTTTTGGAAAAATGAGGGAAAAAAAACACAGAAAGTGCATAAGAAATGAGTCATTTTTACACGGGCATCCGGATTTTCTTTTTGTTTCTTTTTTTTTTCTATTCGAAACACACCCACCAATGGCTCCCTTATCACAAACGGAGATTAGAAGGGAAAATGGTTATGGGTGACTTTTTACATGAATCCATGCTGAGATTCGAACAGTACTATAGCCGGGAAAGTAACTGGAAAAGCTGCTAAAGTTGGGTAATTAAACCGACTCGGGAAACTCGTACTATTATAAGATTGAGCATTGAACTGGCTACGATACATTTTTTTTTTTGCACAAAGCTTTGCTGAGATTGAAACAGTATTATTGTGGACAATCGGAAAAGCTATCAAAGCTGCACAATGGAACTCAGCTCCTCGTAGAGTTGACAAGTTGGGTAAGTGAACCGACTTTGGTACCATTTTTGACTCGTTTACTCAAAATCATGTGATTTCTGTATGAAATGAAGAAGGATTTTGTTTGATAATTGAAAACCGGTTCATTTACCCAACTCTGTAGTTCCGGTGCACTAAAAATGACGTGTTTGAGAGCAAAAAAGCACACAATAAACTTGCATAAAGGCTCTTACTCTTACTATTACGTGTAAATTAAGTACAGATAAATTTAAGCTCAAAAAAAAAAAGAGTACTTGGATTTAAAGAGTACGAGCTAAACATTTGGATACTGCTATTCCCTAAGAGGTTCCCCCTTCCCAAGGGTCTCCGCGTCTCTTTGTTTACAAATACCTATGAATAATACTCACAAGTCTCGGGGAAAGGGGCAAAGATGGGGTTTGTTTGAGTCCGTTCGAGGGTGGGCTAGATTGTCACCCCCTTTCAGCCCTTCAGCCCTTTCAGTCACTCCTCTCATCGACCAACCATCCCATAGAGGACTATCTGAGAGCGTTGCGCGAATTGGAACCATCGAAACCAATATTGGAACGCTGGGAATCGATGAGATCGCTGAGAACAGCTTGATCTTTGCATTAAACTCGATGGGACCAAGGGAATCTTGGAGCAGCTCTTGATAGATTTTTGAGCTCAAATTATGCACATTTAGTGTTACTTGTTGTACTACTTTAGGAAAATAGCTTGAGGGAGTAATTAGCAAAGGATAGGGCTTAGATTCAGGGCTTTAGAGTTATCGGGCTTAGGCTAAATCAGGTCTGGACCAGAGCAGTAGTTGATGAAGCTAGGGCCAAAGCCACGAATCGCCAAGAACTTGATCTTTAAGAATAAACTTAATGCTTAACCCACCCGGTTTCCCTGGCCGGCACGCGGAAAGTCCTTGATGGATCGATTTGACCGAGGAGATGAATCGAATCGATTGATCCAAATGACGTGCTCCCGATCGACGTTTGGAAAGAGTCCAACTAAAAAAAAAAACAATTTTAATAAATTCAATTGATACTTGAACTATGCTTCTATAAATTCAAAGTGAAAGTTTCTCATGAAAAACTCTTTGAACTCACCGATTCGGTTGGAACAGGATGCTCCTCACTCACGCAATCCGAGCCACTTCCCAGCACGCTGTCCGGTGTCGGCACTCGTCGACTAAACTTGTTAGCTATAGTTTTGTAAAAAACAAATTAAGCTCACTAAAATTCAGATCAACAAGGAGTATTTTAAAAGCTCAAAACCTTTTGAGTTCTACTATAAAAAGTTAATAAAGAGAATGACGCGTTTTGTTCCGTTGTTGAATGGGTTGTAAACGGCCACCGATCTGAATAGAAAAAGCAAGGATAAAATTGGCAAAGTGCTTATAAATCTGGGAATTGATAAGCATTTTTTTTTTTGCAAAGGGAAGCAAATTTTCGAGATGTAAAAACGGGAAGAAATAGGATCATTGTGAAACGTTTTTAGATAGGCTTCAGAAGGAAAAAAAAGAGCAGTCTATTTGAAATTGAAATACTAGAATTAAAGTTGCAAAAAAAAGAGCAATAAACTATGATGAATGTGATCTTTACGGAGATTCAAATTTTGTTTTCCTTTTTCCTCTTTCCGTGACTAATCGGGGTCATCCCATTTCCCGTTCAAAATCCTAGATCTCTGAACGATAAAGAAAAAGTGAGAAAGGATAAACTCTTCATCAAAGAACGATTCTTAACATAATTTGAATTCTTATCGTAATTTAATGAGCACATAAAGTAGAAGTTAAATAATTGAGTCGATTCGAGCCAGGCTTAAAACAATTCTTGCCAAAAGTTGAAGTTTAGATAAATAGACAGTAAAAGGAAGCTTGGATAAATAAATGTTCAATTTCAAGCATAAAGACGATCCTTTGGAAGATGATAAATGTCAATTTATGAAAATTCACCTCTCAATTCTTTCCACCAACTCCCTTGTGGCTGTGTGAAGGCGTTGAGTCAACCGCTCCGAGAGGCGCCACGTGTAAATGCATCCGTTCGAGCCGCAAACGATCAGATTTCTAAAAAAAGGCAATATTACAGTAAATCTCTTCTATACAATGTGCAAATCGTTAGAGAAATCGTCTTTTAAAACACTCACTTTAAATCATTAGAGAAAGCGAGCTGTGTCGGAGAATCGCCGGTGCCCGGCAGGATCATCAACGGTTTTTGCGCTTTCACATCGATCACTTGGACCTAAGGATTTAAAAATGATCTTTCTAGATAATATTATCATATCATTACTTTAAAATAGGTTATCTTTAGCTTAAAGTAAGGTAATTTCCAAAAAAAAAACCCAACCATTTTATCGCAAACCGAAGCGCACAACGAGCCCGATGGGTCAAAGATGATCTAGAATTTGATATTTTGTAGAATTGTTAATTAAAAATTAAAAACCTTTCACAGAATATAAAATAAAAAAATATCTTACCTTCCCAAACGAGGCATTCCCGGTGTTTCCCTTGTCGCTGCCGGTAGCTGAGAAACCGCTCAACTGTTTTCCGGATAATGAGTAGATACGGATCTAAAAAAAAGATATATACAGGGTGGCTGACAATTACGTGCGCGCAGCATCAGCATCATAGTTTTAAACAATGTATAAAGCATTACTACTCATCTTTTGTGTTTTAATATTCTTTTTATCGTGGTCAAAATTTTTTAAAAAGTTGTTTTCCTGCAGACGCGCGAGCGGGGCGCCGCGCAGCTGGCGGGGGGCGGGAGAAGGGGCGCGCCCGCCGGGCTCGGGGGGGGGGGGGGCCGGAAGACGAAAGAGGGGGAAGGGGGGGGTGGGCCAAGCCGGAAGGGACCGAGGACCGTTAACACCCAAAGATGCGTGGGACATCAAGAGGAGGATCGAGCGAGACGACGTAGTTTGAACAAGATGGCAAAACAGCTTCAAATTTCGCGTTTCTCGGTTCAATCGATAGTGAAAAATGAGCTCGGACTTCGAAGTTATCGACTGTTAAACGGGCAAGTGCTCACCGACAAGCCAAGAAAACCGGAAGGAGAAAGCAAGAAATTGCGAGCTTTCAAGGTGCGGCGCATTGACGATGTTCTTTGGTCAGATGAGAAGATTTTCACCGGAAGTGGCAAAACCACAAAACACCTTCAACTTCTCAGTCCAGCTCTCAAGAGCACTCGTAAACGAAAGCGCACAAAGGTCTGTTTCAAAAAGTTTGATGGTTTGGGGTGGCATCAGTGCTTCGGGCAAGACCCCGTTGGTTTTATCGATAAAAATGTGAAGATTAACGCAAAAGGAGATTCTCGAGAAAGCTGTCGTGCCATGGAAGAGGAGCCATCCCAATTTGACCCTTCAACAAGATTGGGCGCCGGCCCACGGGCCAACAACATCGCTTTCTCGAAACCAAAATTGGCTCGACGAAGGATCAATGGCCTGCAAACAGCCCGGATCTCAATCCGTTGGACTTTTCGGTTTGGGGTTTATGGAAGAACAATGAGAAAAGAAAACACCAATTTGATGATTTACGTCGAGAATTGACAAAATCTAGAACGACTAGATGCAAATTATCTCCGCCGCACCGTCGATTCTGTAAAGGGGGTGAAGCCTATCAAAGCGGATGGGGGCCACTTCGAAATTCTGTGATTATTAAATGCTTTGTTACAACTATTATATAAATAATTACATTTCTTTGAGAAATTAAATTATGGCGTTTTCTTTGGCGCACGTAATTATCAGCCACCCTATATATCTATAATGTAAGCATGAAAAACGGGAAATGTTAGGGGGAAATTGAAAGATATTCAGCCAATGATCATTTCCCGATTTCCTGATTCATCTATTCCACGTCTATTCCACACCACTTTCCCCCTCACCTGTCTATCCGCACATCCAACAGCGAATCCGTTCAACTCTGGCAACACCACCATGTCACTCATCGCGACACCCTGCTTGATCACTGTCGCACGTGAGAAAGGCGTTGTCTGAAATAAGAAATGTTGCATTTGAAGTCCTTTTTAGTATTAGAGATACTAACAAAATTTCTTCAATAAACCTAGCTCTACTTTACTAAGTAAATCGAGCTCTCATTTATGCATTTCTCAGTCCGCATTCGACTCACCATGTTGCCAGTGAAATTCCACAAGATGATCAACTTGTCGGTGCCTAGCGTGAACATTCGAAGTGTTCCATCGTTTGCCTGAAAAGTGGCTATTCAACTTTTACAAACATGTCTTTTTTCCCAACTCACCGCAGCAAACTTGATCGCCACAACGCCTCCCTGGTGATCTTGAAGGGTTTGGAGATACTCGTAGCTCTGCGTGACATTGTAGAGATGCACAAGTTTGTCCCGTGATCCCGAAGCCATCAACGAGACACCGGATCTTCCCGGATCGTTGAACTCCAGTGCGAACACGTCACTCTCATGAGCATCCATGTTAAGGATCAACGCCATCGTCGTCACGTCCATTACCCTAAACAAATAAATCAGTAACCCAAAAAGAAACGAAAGAGATCTAGAGCCGATTTAGCTTAGCTTACAGGATCTAGAGCTTGCTTGGAATCCTTTCCATGTTTTTAAGCTGTCTGATAGTTTGTAAATATTTTCAAACCCACAATATGCATCCATTTTGACGTCCAATGATGAGATGTCGTCCATCTGGTGAAAATCGAAGGCTTTTAATAGCGTCAGTTGAATCAAAACGTGTCGATGGTATCATTCCGCTGTCTAAAATAGATATTTATTAAAGTTTAAAGAAGAAAAGTATTTATAAATCATTTTCTTTATTCATTTTGATCACCAACCATCAGCCGGTTCGGTTAATAGTTGAATATCATCACTTGTGTAAAGGATTTTCTTCAATGAGATCGAGTAAACGTTGCGGAGTGGAAGCAGTGACTGAAAAGATAATCAAATGGACTCTTGTTTTTGAAATTGATTACCGTTTGAATGATCGGCTCTTGGCGATCTTTGGCCGAATTCCAGAAGCGTACTGTGCCATCGGATCCCCCAGTTACATACGTGCCACTCGGTAGGAATGGGTAACGATCCGGGTAAACCTGAAAGTGATATTGATGACCTCAATATTGATTATCTAGATAGCTATTTTGTTATTTCTTCGCGCGTGTAATCGATAATTTGTTATCTTTCCGGGCGTGTAATCGGTAAGTATCGCATTATATGTTCATTGTCGGCTCTAACTTTGCATTTTTTTTTACTTAAAATACTCTCTTCTAAGTCGGGAAATGTCTCTTTCAAAAGTCTGTTAATTGAAATTGAAATTTAGAAAGCAAGATAATCCTTTTTTTTGTGTCTAAAATCGGGTTAAAAGTTTAGGTATTGCCTCATAGCCCTCTGAACCTGCCTCATAGCCTTCAATTATCTCATATCAAGAATAATCTATGATTTTATGGTAACTGGTAGGCATGATTTCCCTTTAGTCATGGATTTCTCAACCGTCCCTTGGTCGATTACTCTGAAATTTTGGCTACAAGCTGTCGATTTCTATCTGTAGACAAAATTTCAGAGAAATGGCGAAGAAACGGCTAAGAAGCGGCCAAGAAACGGCCATTTCCTATGTCTATTACTACTCACCTCAACCACATTTACTCCGCCAACATGTCCCAATTCGGAGTGCATCTTCACCGTCTCCTCTCCGCTTCGTTTCCAAACATAAAGTGATCGATCCGAGTAAAGAACCGAGATCGATTGAGAGGATTGATGAACAGAAAGAGAGCGAACGTCCGGATATCTAAAAGTCAAAAGATTGAAAAGATTTTAAGTACTATAGAAACAGATACATTTGGAAACTCGCAAAACTCGTCTTTTTGTTCGCTTTGAAAGAAAATATTTGCCTAAGATGGGCGGTAAAGAAAAAAAAAGAAAAACGCCATTACATTCAAGCGTCTCAACGCACAAAAATGAGTAAAGTTTTTGGGAGGAAAGATAAGCTTTTTTTTTGAAATTGAATCGGGAAGTTTGGCGCGATTCACTGACTCATTTTTTGGTTTCAATATTTTAGTATTAGGTTTTTTCTTTATTTCTTTATTGTCTTGTACATCTAATCTTATTATTTAAATCATTTAAATCAAATATTCAAAAGACGACTTACAACGAGTTTTGTGGATGATTTTCGGCATCAAGAACTGAGTCATGTGTAGCATCTGATGGATCAACACCCAAATAGTGGGGTAATGGGAAAGTCCATTCGACCCGGAGACTCTCGTTGCATGTCAAGGAAAGAGCAAGGATCTGCAATCATTCATTGATTGAGTGATTGAGCAATCATTAATTACCGATTTTGATTTTAAGCACTTGGATTCATTCATTAGCATTAAGTACATTTATTTAGCCTTCAGTAAACCTTATCATGTCCTTCACAAAGTACTGAAACTCTAACTGAACCTTACTGAACTCTAAACACAACAGTAAACAGTTACTGAACTCTTGAATCCTTAAATCGACAGTAAACTGGTAGAGAATCACCAGAAAATGCGAATTTTTAGAGTACACTTGAGTGCTGTATTATTGATGATCATGATTTCTTGATCAATCCTTTTCACTCAAGAAAAAAAAAACTCACCATTCCCGAGTCACACCCAACCAGCAACAACTCCTCATTGAACAACGCAATATCATAAATCCGTCGATGCCCAAAACGATATGTGTTTTGAAGCTAAATTTATAGAAATAAATCAAATTAAGAATCATTTTCATAAAAACATTTTCATAAAAACATTTTTATAAAGCATTTCCTTAAAAACATTTTTATAAAAACATACCTTTTTCCCCACAACTTCGACAACAAAAGCATTATCAGCGATGGCGAAGAAACGATTCTCGGAGAGGAAAATCCCAGAGGTGAAATGACAATTGCGCTTATCATTCAGAATAAATGATCGACCCTAAATCTATCAAATAAAAGAGCTTTCACCTTTTCTTCATACGTGTAACTTCTCCCCCTCAAGTGTCCACATTTTCGCATGCTTTACTCCATAAGTGACAAAAGAGAATCCATCTGGTGACATAGCCACACCAGAAACCTAAATCACAAATATTTTGTGCTTAAAAGCAAAAGAAAACAAATTCCTATCTATATCGACATTTAAAGTACTCAATTTTCTTCAAAATTTTTTACCTGATTATTCAATTTGCAGCATGTGATCTGCTTTCCACTTCGCCACTCCCAAACAATCAACATTTTATCGTTTTGATCACCGATTGAGACAAGATGCGGTCGAGATGAGCCAAAAAAAGACTAAATTAAGTTCAAATTAATCCCAAAAATTGATAAAATCACCATAGCGATGATCCCAAATGAGTGACCGATCATCTGTGTGATTTGTCGACCAATGAATCGACCCTCATCGTCGCAAATCTCCCAAATTCGAATCAATGGATTATGACCATTCTAAAAATTAAAGCTTTTAAAGTTTTAAAACTAAGCTTTTAAAGTTTTAAAACCAAGCTTTTAAAGTTCTAAAGCTAAGCTTTTAAAGTTCTAAAGCTAGGCTTTTAAATTTCTCAAACTAGGCTTTTAAATTTCTAAAACTAAGCTTTTATAAATAAAATCATAAATATCAAAATCTATAAATAAAATCATGAAAATCGTAGAACAAACCTCTCCACTCGCTAAGAAACGTCCACATCGTGAGAAAGCAAGACAGGTAAACGGATTTCGCGATGATGAAAGTAAATGTGCTTGTTTCTGCTTAACAATCGTGATCGTGCTACTGAAAAGACAGAAGTTCTTTTGATTTTAGTCTGAATTTGACTTGATAATTTGACATTTTTAGCCCTATTTTTAGCTCTATTTTCAGGGAGTGGGACAAATGCTACCTTTTTTTGCGCACCCGGACACTTGCGCACCTTTTTTTGCGCACTTAGCCCATTAGCGCACCTTTTTTCGCGTTTTAAAAAAGCTCTAAAAGCTAATATTAACCAATTTCTATTCCAAAAGTTGTTTTTCTAGGTAATTTGAGGGCGTAGAATCGAAATTTTGACATATCAGAGCTTGTGGAACCAATTTGAAAGGCAAAACGGCTAGGTCGATTGTTGATTGTTGATTTTTCTCTTTGTATAACTCCGTCCGGTCGCTTCCACAAGCTCTGTTATGCCAAAATTTCGATTCTACGCCCTAAAATTACCTAGAAAAATAACTTTTGGAATAGAAATTGGTTAATATTAGCTTTTAGAGCTTTTTTAAAACGCGAAAAAAGGTGCGCTAATGGGCTAAGTGCGCAAAAAAAGGTGCGCAAGTGTCCGGGTGCGCAAAAAAAGGTCGCATTTGTCCCACTCCCTATTTTCACAAATTTTCTCGAAAAACTATCTCTTTCTTTTGTCCACACCTTGATGGGATTCTGAGAAAACAAACACAACAAATTATCCTCCTTTGTTCTCTTCTTTGTTTTTCTTTTTCTATTTTCTTTAGCTTCTTTCTTTAGCTTCTTTCTTTTGCTTTTTTTTCTATAAATTCTCCTAAGTGCTCATTGTTTACTGTTCCAAATTGGATTGAAAAGACTTTTTTGTAATTTTTAACTAGCAAAAGACACATAAAATCTATAAAACTAGCTAAATAGTTTGAATTCTAAAAGTAAAGTTCATTTCCCGTTAGAGCCGCTAGATTATGGAACTTGCTCCCAAACGACATACGAGAAATTCAGTCGCTTTTCATATTCAAGAAACGTATCGATGCTTTAGATCTAGTGGCTCTTTGCCGTAAGTAATTGGCTTATTGATTTCAGTATGTATTGTATGATTAAGTATCACTGTGCATTTCTCTATGATTTCTTTCACTTTATCGTTTGAATAAAGTATTATTATTATTATTATTAAAGAAAAAGAATTTCTGGGTAATTTAGAAATAAGAAGAAATAAGAAGAAATAAGAAGAAATAAGAAGCTCTTTTCTCACCCAGTAATATAAGCAGTTTGACCGGAGACCTCATCGACAACGAGTGAATTTGGCGAAACACTACTGCATCCAATCACATCGCTTAGCTTTGCCTAAAAGAAATGTAAATGAATGTAATTGTAATTGAATTGAATTGTATTTTGCTTTGCTTTATTTTGTTTTCATTTGATTTTTTAACTTTGATAATAAGAAAAAGAGAAAAATAGAAAGATTTAACAACAAAGCCATCTAGTTTTCAACAAAACAAATGAAATTAATAAAACTATAAAAGAAAACGTTTTAGCCCTTTTAAAATAAACTTTTACACTTGCGGAATGTTTGTTTTTTGTTTTATAGAGGATTCGTGGCACAAGCTTCATATGGTCTCTCATATCAGCTCAGCTGTTTTGTTTTGATTTAACCTCGTCAACTATTCAACATTATCAACAAGGATATCAAGAGCACATCGACCTATACAACATACAACAAACGCAAGAGCGTTTACAGAGAAAAATTTTGGGAACGCATTCTACCTCTTGATTTAACCTCGTCAACTATTCAACACTATATCATCAACAAGGATATCAAGAGAACAGCAATAGTCAACAATAGTCATTTTATTTTCAATTTTAATCTATAATCGTACTATCTAATGGAAAAGAAAGGAAAAATATAGAAAAATGCACTAGCTACCGTGTTTTCATTTGATTTTTTAAGTTTGATAATAAGAAAAAGAGAAAAGTGATAAAGAAAGAGAAAAATAGAATTCAGATTTAACAACAAAAACCATCAAGTTTTCAACAAAACAAATAAAACCAATAAAACCATTAAAACTATTAGGTTGATGCAAAAGTCTTTTTCATTTTTTTCGTACTTCTTTTGAAAAATAACAAAGTCATCAATTAACCTATGGTTTGCTCTAAATGAAAAGTGTTTATTGTTGAATTTTCCCATCTTTTTAAGTCAATTTGGGTTCACTTTCAAGCAAATTCGAGAGTGAAAACGGGTTTTTCATAAAAATCTATAAAAACCTCTATAAAGAAATTGGCTGAGTCAATTTCTCTGAAAATCTGAAAAAATATCGAACTTTTTGTGCTCTATCTTTTATTTATTAACATCAAGATTAGTTTCCTTAGCTAAAGCGTCTAAAATGCATCATCGAGCCGTCGCCTTTTTTGACTACCCGACTTCAGGCTCTCAAAAAAATCTAGACATAAGACATTTTAAACTCGTTTTAATGTCATTTTGCAGAAAAATAATTGACCTTTCGAATGCAATAAACCGTTGTTCAATTGGTGCATTTGTTACTTTTTAACGGAAGTACGAAAAAAATGAAAAAGACTTTTGCATCAAACTATGGGTGAGCATAATTATCGGACTCTGCGTGCTGTATCTTTGTGAAAGCTGTGTATTTCAAATATCGTATTCTTTAGTGAACAAAAGCGGTCGACAATCATACCATCTTCGCCATATCATGCTCTACCACCGAAAAGGGTGGTCTGCCGCAGAGTCGTTTCGCGATCTCAAAGAACTGGGAAGCCCCAACGGACTACCACGTCAATCGATCGCCAAAAATTGGCAAACAAATAAGACTACAACGATGGATGACTTGAGACGATGTTAAAGCGTGGATTGCCCCAAAGATCGTTATTCTTCGCTCGTGGAATCGATCGTCTTCCAAGAAATGGCAACGTTATTGATGAGGCGGTGAATATGCCCAGAAAATCAATAACATATTTTTCTAACTATTTATGTTATTTTTGAAAAAAATCATTTATAAAAGAAGTCCGGATAATTATGGATCAACCCAATAATATAAAAGAAAACGTTTTATCCCTTTTAAAATAAACTTTTACACTTGCGGAATGTTTGCTTTTTGTTTTATAGAGGATTCGTGGCACAAGCTTCATATAGTCTTTCATATTTAGAGATGTCAGCTGTTTTTGGTTTTGATTTAACCTCGTCAACTATTCAACACTATATCATCAACAAGGATATCAAGAGAACACCAATAGTCAATAATAGTCATTTTATTTTCAATTTTAATTTATAATCTATTTAATGGAAAAGACAGGAAAAACATAGCAAAAAAAAAAGTGCTCACATTTTGAGCTCACCAATTTCATCGACTCTCGATAAATTAACTTTAGATTATATTGTTGAAATGTTAATGCCTATTTTTGATTAGTGTTTCTTCTTTCATCATTCACTTGCTATCGTTTATCTTGCTATCGTGCTATGTTAAATCTATTTTTGATTAGTGTTTCTTCTTTTATCATTCACTTGCTAATCATTTTCAATCGTTTATCATCAACAAGGATATCAAGAGAACACCAATAGTCATTTTATTTTCAAATCCGGATTTTCTTAGCACGATCATACTTATTTCTTTCAATTCTTGAAGAATTCTCAAAATTATTTCCCTTTCTTCATCACTTTTCCTTGTATGTTTTGAATGGAAAACGAGAATAAAGGGAAATCAGGAATGATTTCCAGATGAGGGAAATCATTCCTGATTTCCTTTTTCTTCATTTCTTTGATTGCATTTCTTTTTTCTCTCTCCATTTCATCCAGTTCCGAAATCTAAACAAATACTCCTTTTCTATTCCTTTCCTCACTTTCCATATATTGATTTGTGATTGGAATTCACCAGGAATTTCCTTTTCCTAAACGAAAAATACTAAACGAATCTGTTTTGAAAGTTTTGAGATGAGATTTAGTTTAAAGTTGAGTAAATAAACCGGATAAATTTGTTGACGTTTAAATGAATGCCCTTCAAAATTTGAATGATCTTTTCATATATAGTGAATTCCTTTTCTACTGAATCTCCTCTTCTTTCACCTCCTTCTTTCTTCTTCCTTTCTCTTCTCTCTTCTTTCAACTTCTTCTTTCTCTTCTCTCTTCTTCCACCTCCTCCTTTCTTCTTTCTTTCTCTCTTCTCTCTTCCTTCTCCTCTCTCTTCTTTCACCTCATCGAATGGTCAAAAGCCATCAATAATCCCTAGATTTAGCAAGGTTTTATGCAAATCTCCCAATCGAACAAAAGCCGAAAAGGCGATTATCGCGAATATTTAGAACTTTCCAAAGAATGATTATATTTTCCGGTTTTTAAACATTCGAAACATTTCAACAATTCAGCAAGAATTCATCAAAATGTTACAAATCTCTTGTTAAATTTTCTTTTAAAGAAAATCCCTGAAATCAATTGAATTCCACAATTCAATGTGTCACAAAAAGGCTGGGCAATCTGTTTCGATTAAGGTCACTCAGGGGAAATGACAAAGGGATTAGAAAAAAAGGAAAAAGGAAAAAAACGATTGGATCTGGATTTAAATTCGCTTGGAAACAAATTGATTTTGAGCTTGGAAAATTTAGAAAAAAAGTCGTTTAATCAAGAAATTCTTGAGTATACTTTGAGCTAAAATTATTAATAATATAGAATTTCCGCTGCTCTCAACTTCTTGCATTGAACCCTGCATTGAGCCCTGAACGGCTCTGCGTTTGGCTGAGAAACTAGACAGAAATAAAGCGCACATTTTAGAATTTCAAAATTGTTATCTCTAGAATCGACTGTACTTCAATTCCATTATCCAATTCTATTATTCAATTCCATTATCCAATTCTATTATTTAAATTCCGATAATCCCCAAGAATTGATTGTGAGTGGCTGTGGGTGGCTGTGTTGTGGGGGGTTTTTGTGTTTGTCATCGATAAATATGAGGGAATTGACGGGAGACTGCAGACTCGACACTTCAGGGTGTGATAGAAAGCGTCAATAAGCACCAATTTATTCACCAATGATTAGCTCGTTGCAGGCTAAGTTGATCGGTGATTGGAAAGTGCAAAGTTACAAGTTAAAAATGAATAGGGATTTCGAATTCCTTTCCATTTTTGTTAGTCTTATTCCAGCTCTTCCCAGCTTTTCCCAGCTTTTGCCAGCTTTTGCCAGCTTTTCCCAGCGTTTGTCAGCTTTTGCCAGCTTTCCCCAGCTCTTTCCAGCTCTTCCCAGCTTTTCCCAGCTTTTACAAACATTCTTCTGCTTCTAATTCCTTATCAATCATTCGGAGATCAAAAAAATCAACCCCAAACACTTGAAAAAGCTTCCAGATTTTATGGGAATCACTTTGCTGATTAGTTTTCATCCGCCAAATGAAAAAAATGGCTCTAAAACTATTTACGATTCAAAATGACGACAAACAAAAAGTGTTTCGAATCTTAAAAACGATCAAGATCTCACAATTAGATCACAAAAACAGATAAAACAATGTCTACTTTGAAAAGCTTAAACTACTATAGCTGCTATATGTTAAAGTACTCCGTCAAAGTACTCTGTTAAAGTACTCCGTCAAAGTACTCTGTTAAAGTACTTTGCGACGTACTTTCTGACATTACTGTCACTACTTTGGATTCGTCTTGGCTTTGTAAGCTCATCGCTGAAATACACAAAGATTTCGAGAGTTTTGGGTGGGGGTTGGTGGGGGTTGGTGGGGGTTGAAGTGACCTCGATTCCCTCAAAATTCTCCTCCAAATCCTCCTCATACCCCATTCTCTTCTCAATTCAAACTGTCGGAAATAACTCCAATAGGAATCCAACAATTCCCATTTCATTTTCCTCAACAATATCGTCAAATCGATTCATTTCAAAGTACACCAAAGCAATATTAAAAAAATGATGGAAGAATGAGAAAAGAGATGAAAAGCTTTGCGTTTTGTCTCAAAAAAACAGAGTAAAAGTGATTAAAAGTGTTGAAAAATGAGTGATAACTCTTTTTGGTTACCCAATCTGGCTTTAAAAGCTTTATTTTGATGATTTGATAAGTTTTAAATGATCTAAAAATCGAAAGATCTTTGACGAATCGTCAAAAAATCGAAAGAAATCCTAAATTCTATCCAAAAAAAAAACAAAAATCTCCTTCCACTTCCATTTTAACTCATCAAACTTGTTCAAATCTTATTTTCCCTCATTCATTTGATCTCTTTGGGATCTCAATTAGGATCTCAGATTTCTTTTGTCAAATCTAGACTAGTACTTAGCCACTCTAGTGCCTAAATCACAAAAAGAACAGCTGACATCTCGGGTGAAAGATCAATGGATCATTTGTGATCATTTAAAA